TATACTGGCAATCTAAATGTGACCTTGAAATTGACCTTTGACCTACTTTTTATCATGAACTGAACTCTGCTAATTTCTTTCTCTTTTAACTTCAAACTTGACAGAGATAGGTCCATAGTTACTCTTGAACTTGAATAGGAAGTCATATACTGGCAATTTACTGTGACCTTGAAATTGACCCTTGACCTACCTTACGAAGAACTTAAATTTGATTGTACCATATATATTTTTTGCAATAGTTTAAAAATTCTTGTTGATTGCATTTTTACAGCTTGTCAAGCACAAAACTGGTGGCTATGTCCCTTATTTTGTGTATGTGGGGGTCTATACGAATGCGCTTGCTCCAGCTGGTGGTACAATATTCGGAGGCGGTATCGCCTCTCTGATCCTCTAGTTTTGTATTACCTTCCTCCCCCTCCTTTTACATCTCTGTGAATAGAGATGAATAGAGCTCACAGATAACCGTTCCATTCTGAATATTATTTTTGCTAGATAAGTATCTGTGAGGGCAATCTTTTATCAAACTCCAGTTGAGCCACTGTTTGGTACTGTGAAACGAGTAATTCATATATTAGAAAGTTGTACTTTTTGACCCTTATCAGTATCTGTATATGAATAGATATTAATGGTTTTAATAATTTCCTGTAATAAGTCCACCATTTGTCCTTCATTTATCCCATCTCCTAATTTTCATTTATCGCATTGATTATTCCTATTATGTTTTAAATACAGGTCAGTCGAGGTTTGTTATAAGCCGAGTATGAATGTCTGTTAATGTACTGTGCACAGCTGATCTGTTAAAATGGATGTTTTATTGCACTTTCTTTTAGTGTTAGAATCGATCCACTTTAGTATATCTAGTTGGTCATTTGTTTGATTCTGTGGTGGGCCTAAGTTTACCCTCATTTCATTACAATTAAAGAGTCATTTTATTAAATCAAACCTTAAAGGCAGTGAAGCAATATTCAGAAAAGGCTGTAAATCAATTGAAAAATCGGTCAAGGGCCTTAAAATACGCTGTGGAGGTATGATCTCCTTTCCAAATTTAGCTTTTTTTCCAGAAAAATAATTTCATTATACCCTCAGCTCCTTGTGATCATTTTGCCATTTGTATTGTATCTACCCACATGTGCCTATCACATGGTCAATTATAAACAGCTTGTGGACAATATGACCATAGTTGAAGTATGAGGGCGAGCACCAGGCAGTGGAAGGGAGAAAAGTTCAGTAGACAATGCAATACATTGTATCTAGGTGTGTATCACTACCAGATCCTTTCCTGTAACCCCCACCCTTGCACTTGTCTATAGAGAAGAAAAGAAAAAGAATAGATGAAGTTAGGATCAGAAAGAGATATTTGATTGTTCATAGTTGAATAGTGACCAGATGTGCATCTGTTCAAACAAGACTATTTCTAAACCCAAATCTTAAACAGATTTCAAATGTAAATGTTGATGCTTCCCTATATTCACTGATCAAATGCCTATAAATGTTGATTGCAGTCAGTTGATTGTTGATACCATGACATAGACTTGATTATCATTTGTGTGTACCATCCTCAGTGTCATTTTATTTCTGTACTATACTGGGCAAAAGCTAATTCTTGTAAATGGTAATGACTCAATCTTTTCAATTTATATTCACATTTATAATTTTACAATTATTAAAATTACATTTCTAGTATATAGCATATGTGATGCTTTTACAGTTTTGAATGGAACTGTAGTTTAGTCTGTTTTTCCACTTTGTTTCTACCACTAGATGAGAATGTCCTTATTGTAAGAATTTATAAATTTTAAAAAATGCAATAAGTTTTAAATTCTCAGTTTTCCTCATTGAAAAGATTGACTCATTACAGTACAGGTGTTGGCCAGTGAGATAAACCATTTGACCATCACTGGTCCTGCAGGTGTGCTTGGTGACTGAGTGATGGGTGAGAAATAGCAAGACTTGTGTATACAGTGGTGTAACACCAGTTTCCTACATTGCCAAGGTTTATTTAGTGAGACAGGCCCTAACTAACACCTGCAAAGAAATTGATTGGTCAAAAGAAAATAAAAAATAATGGTCGAAAGTAATATTTTAATTATCTCGGGAGGAAAAAAATAGGATATAGTGTGACAACCTGAACTTTGTTAAGTGTTTCTCAAAGGCCACATATATACAACCCTGTACTTACCAAACCCTACACTTCTGAACTATCATGCCTAACATATGGGAGAGAAGACAAGTGGTAAGTGGTTGTCAACTAAATCTTTGTTATTTTCTTTAGCTTTATCTAAAGCTGATGTTTGCAGGGGAAAAAAAGAAACAAAACATGTTATGCACTACACTATAAAACTTATCTGGCTGGTATTACTTTGTGCAAATTCTTTGCATAATTTTGTAGTCTTAGTTGTCAAAGCTTTATACGCTTGCTGAAAGAATGCAAAAAAGATTTAATCCACTTTTTTCAAACAGAATCAGGTGTTTTGGACTGAATTTTAAATAATTGTGACAAGATGGGCGTGGTAGAAGATTAGACATACTTGTAATCAGTGATTCTTTTATTGTGCCAAAAGATGCAGAGTTATGCAAGGTTGACGTGTTTACTCTCATCTTGTTGCAGTAATTGTTCATTGATGTAGCAGTTCAATCAGTAATTCACCTATCAATTGTCACCCAGTTGCTGAAAGGGTGCAGTGGAAGGCTGTGCCATTAAGTAAGCCTGTTTGATGATCAATCTGGCAAGCGGAATGATTTCATATTGATTCAGATTTTTCTTTTTTACACATATATTTTATTGTCAAATCCATTTGAGTCTAAATAGAATTTTGTGCACCTAGTTAATATGACAGACTTTTTACTTGAGTGGTAAATTTCCTTCTTAGTTTTTAGCCAATTAAGGTCAGAATAATTAATATTCTTACAGTTGGTTGAAAGAAAACAATTTCTACAAAATAAATCACCTCTTTCAGTGACACAACAGGAATATGCTTTTAACTACATCTCTAGTTTTAGATGATTTTGTTGTGAAGTCCGACTGGTCCAGGTTGGTGTGGTGAACAAAAAATCTGAAGTGAAACTAATGGGTTTGCACCAAGTAGGCTACAATAATGGAGCTCGTGCTGAGTCCTTTGTCATGCCTCATCTTTCTTTAACCCCATGACAACAGTGCTGTGTGGAATTACAGCCTCAACCTATGATGCCCACATAGTTGTATGGATCCTTTTCATTTGGTTCTGGAAAATCTATAGTGTAGTTCTTGACTGGGCTTCTAGAACACAGATCAAAGGCTCTTCATTAGATACAGAAATCAAATTTACTAGAACCATTTTCTTTATTTGTTCATTTGGGATAGAATATACTCCTTTTACCACACAAAAGGTCTATGAGACAACTATCTACACTAATCACATAACTGAATTACCAAGAAAATGAAGTGGTTCAACCGGAGTTACATCAGACAGAAATTTTGCAATCAAGTTTGATGCAAACAAAGGGACAAAGGCACATTAACTGGGCGCTTTTCTGTTATTGTTTTCTTTGGTAGCATGGAAAAGTGTGGCAAACAGATATAAATATTGGATAATCAAGTTTACTCTTAATTGTGGTCATTTACTATGGCATCAAAAGGACTGATGTGAAAATAAGGGACATAAACTTATTGAATTGCATCCATCTTGCTCATATTGAATTCATTGCGTGAACCAGGTGAAATGCTTGAAGATATGACTAATAAATTGCAGACCATAAAATACAAATGCCTGTTTCAATAAAAAAGTAGTTAACATCCGTATACAACATCAACTCCACAACAAATGTAAAAAATATTAGTACACATCTTCATTTTGTAAAATATTTTGAAAATTCCAACACTGTTGCTGAGAGGGGGAAGAGGTAGATGTTATGTTTTTTTGAAGATTAACCTTGTATGTTGTGAGATCTATCTGCCACTGCAAATGATAAATTTCTACCACAGCTGTTAATACTAATAATGAACTTTTTGATTTATATGCTGTTGATGAATAGTTTTTTCATATATATTTTTGTGTCATAGTTTGCCTGGCTTCTGTATGTACTGTTGCTAGGAATATAACTTTTTCATGAAGTTCTAAGAATTGTTCTGTCAAAGAATCCACTGATCCCATTCAGTACAGGTAACTTGATGGCCTTGTTTAAACACATGCAGGAACCTCATGAAAACCTTGTTCAATTTGCTGGTGACCATCCAGTCCCTATTACCCCACCCTACACAGTTGGGACTTAATGTGGTTGACATTTGTGACCCTGTCTCCTCATCTTTCTATGATAGAGTTTATCAGTGTTTTCAAATTGGTTTGAAAAATGTAGATGACAATAAGCAGGCTGCCCCTAGCTTGGAGTGAATCACACAGAATAACCAAAGGTCAGGGCATTTTGGAAAATCAAAGGGATTTTCTGTTTTGCTAGGTGGGTCTAATAGCAGTGTTGTCATGGATGGGTAGGTTGTGATGTCATTTTCAGGTTTTTCAGGATGTCTGTAGAGGCTCTTGAAAGTGGAAACTGCTTATTATAGTCAAAAATAGAATTACGCTTGAGAAATCTGTAAAGTGTAAATTTCAAAATTATCAAGAAAAAAAACTTCTATGATGCTTGGATCACAGATCAAAGACACCCCTCTCCCAAATAAGAAAAAAAGAAGGAAGAAAAAAGAAAAACAGGAAATTTTATGCCATATTTGTCATGCACAGCTACTGAATTTGACTTGCTTTTAGAAACAGAAGTCATGCAGGTATTGAACTAGACAATCAGCATCTGTTGATAAATAATTGCTATTTGATGCATCACATGTTTTCTTTACTCTGACTTAAAAACTTCTCATTAAAATTGAACAAAGGATTGATAAATAACCATTTACAGACAAAGGGAACACAACTTGGCCAGTTTTTTTAATGTCAGCTTTCCATATTCCACATTGGTGATCCCCCCCTCCCCTTGTACCCCTTGTCCCCAAGGTGAGATTGTCTTGTTGGAGTGACATGTTGCTCTGTGGAGCCTGTCAAGAAGCAGACACAAAGGGGATAACTGGTGACTTGTGTGCCTTGAGGAGCCACTAAGGTGATAGAGAATAGGACAGATTACCCTTTCCATTAACTTCACTGGGTAATCTCCTCAAAGTTTAAAGACTGGCACTGTTAGATGCAAAAATAATTCATTTTTTCTGTCAGAGGTCAGGACAGGGACACAGGATTCTTCGGGGCATTGTTATAAAAATTTCACAATATCCATCAGTGACACAGTATTGTTTGAGCAGTTGAGGTACTGTGAAAGTTGAGAATCAGAATGTTTGTCTTAGAAGCCTCCTGGATGGATTTAGCTGTTGCTAAGTGGTTTGATTTGCAGGGTTTTTTCGCTGAAGGACAAATCTGTTCCATCTGCTACAGTTCTCAACTGATTTGATGCATTATGAGCATTGAAACTGCATCATGCTAATGAAAAACGAAGCTGGAAATTTAGTATTTTCTCCTCATACCAGCATGTGGGTCTAGATGAAAAGGATCCATTATTTATTCAAAGGATGCATCATTTGTTTTTTAAAGTAGTAAATTTTTTTAATGTCAAAATTCCATCTTCAAGTTAGATCCATTTCAACTGCATTGTTGTAACAGTGTTAAAATTACACCGTGCCAATTAATACCAAAAACATACATTGTTAATACTTACTTAACAGGTCATTGTTATTGGCACTGTTCTTCTTTTATGACGAACAAAAATGTAACTCCCATGTGCTAAAATTCTCACCTGGTAAAATTGACAGCCATAGCACTGTATATATACACAGGCAGCAGTCAGACACTGTTGAAGCTTTTGTGTCAATATTTATATATCGAGTTGCTGTATCTCCACGATAAGAAGGGAAGTTGGGAATTCTGTAGCTAAGGTAGCTGGAAGATGGTGTAATTACCTCAGGTTGCACAAGTTATGTTGTTTCAAATTGATTGTGTAAGTAGACAGGACCATTGAGAAATCTAAATGCTACAGTCTTGATTTCATGAGAATACCTGGAGAGGGCACTTGCCTGGATTTGAAGAAAAATGTTTAGTTCTTGATTTTGCCGTTTACTTTAAAAAAATCAAATGTTTCTTTACAAATGAAGGAGATGTTCACATTTAGAAGTTGAAGTGGGACAAAGGAAACAGAAGGCAGTTGGAAGTTAACCTCTAGGTGTTATTTTCATTGTCACTTCTCAGCTTCAAACAAGCGATAAATTGAAAAAAAAAATACTGCATGCACAAAGAGTTGTGTCTGTGCGTAAACTTCTTGAATGGACAATTTAACACCAGTGAAAATACTAGTTTGATTGTGCTGAGAGAAAGACGAGTCCAAGAGCCAAAAACAACTGTATTGAACTCTCACTTTCAGTGCAAATAATTCCAATATTGGAACCAGCCTAGAGGTAACTTGACCAGCGGAAATAATTTTTTTTCAATGAAGACCAAGTAGGGGATGATTCCATTTTGTTCATTTGAAACAAAACAATCTTGACCTAGTACAAAGCACCTGCTCCAGAGACATTTAATTTTGTTCTGAGGGAAAAAAATGTTACCAAGTCCTGACTAATATTGTGTTCTTGTTTTGCTTCATTTACTTGATTAACAGGGGGTATAAAAAGTGTGATTCACACAACCACAGGCCAATTTGGCATCCCCTGATGAATTATTTATGCACCAGGACCTCACAGAGACATTTATCAAGCTTACACAACCAAAAATACATTTATTGCAGTTTGCTCGCCAAATGCTTAAGCTATTCATCAACTTTTGATTACTGATTTACTTGCTTTGGTCTTTATCAAAGTTGATCAGACTGAAGAGTTGGGGTTTATATATTTTATGGCTGAGAGTGTGCTGTGACAGCCCTAGTGCTGTTAAAAAGGCAGTGGAGTAGAGAGAAAGAGAGAACTGTTTGCGGTATTGGTCTTTTGTGTAAGTCCTGAATGCAACAACAGGGGAAGGAAGTCCCTTGCAAACCTTGTGCAGCTGGTGTCTTTTCATCAAGACTGAGTCATCAGGTTTGAGAAGAAAAATTGAAGTGAATATCATTAAGATTTAAAAATAAACTATAAAAAACAGGCTGAATGACGTTTCTTACATCATTTTGAGAAAAGCAGAAGAGTGTATGGTGTTCATAGAGCAATTGCTAGCCTTCCAGATTCTTCATAAGTATCATGTATATCATAAATTTCCAGGGGAAAAACCGAATCTAGATTCCTCAGATTATTTGAGTGTCATTTGCAAAGGAAAGTGGCTCGTGGAGGCATTCAGAGAATCCATAATCAGAAAAAGGTCATTCTTGGTAGTGCGAAGCACAGGTATCTTGTCCTGTGTACAAGTAGTGGAGGTATGCCCTGGTAGAAGGAAGCTGTGGAGAGTGCAGACCTGGAGGTGTTCCAGGGAATACTACCATGTCCAACAGTAATAAAAGAGGAGGAGGGAAAATAAAAAGTACTTGATGTAAAGTATTGCTGCGTAGAGAGGAAGAACACAACTCGGGTTTACAATAACTGACCTGGCCTCGTATGATAAACATATATTTTTAAAAACCACTGTAACAAACAACTACCTTGAGCTGTTTGGCAGCCCTCCTGCTGCATGTATCATGCATAGCTGCTGAGGCCAGATGGGCAGTATGCTTTATCCAAAAAGATGGAATGTTTGACAAGGGGATGATTTCCCCATTACTTCACTACACACACCACATGAGACTTGAGTGGCTAGTTTTCTAATTCGGTCTGATCAGCAAGGCCAGGTGAGGGGATAGACAGCTAGTATAGGACAGCCCTGCCTGTGTTGCAATCAAGCATAAGAGCCAGGTATTCTGGTAGAGAGAGATCAGAGTGGTAGGGAGCTGCCTTCTACCTGGGGATTGATTGGACGGGTTGTGTTTACTGCAGGCAACAAGCAGGCACTGAGGCAGCAACAGCAGGAAGATCAAATCATGCCTTCATTCCCTCAAGACATTTGGATGGGGAATCAGGCTTGATTGTGAACAGAAACTGGTCTTTTCTCATTTAGTGAGCTTGAGTTTTAGCTCTTGTTATTGAATGTGTGGCGGGAGAGAGGAGAAAAATCAATGAGTTCAACATCTCTTGAGAAAAACGTGGTCTCCTGCACATATTGACAGTTCCTTGTTAATTTGTCATCATCACGTGTGTGGAGTGCACACTGTCAGTTGCCTAGATGTGACAAATTGCTTAAGGAGGAGACAATAGGATTACAGTGCAGTTCACCTCTTTTAACTGACTGCTACCTTTCATTATTTACGTCAGCAGGACTTCACAGTGCATTTTTTTCTGGGATATATGGAGTTTTTTTTATCAACTTCTGTTTTCTTGATAATATTTAGAAATTGCATGGAATTATACCAATTGAAAACTTTGCTGTATATCTAGTTCTAAGACTTGCATATAGGATTTTTTTTTTACCTGGAAAGCATATTTGGAAAAATATGAAGGACATAATAACCTGAGGATTTAGTTCTGGGATTATCATTCACTACTGCTACTACTACTACTGTTGCTGCTGCTTTTGTACAATGTCTTATGAGAAGTATGATGATGAAAAACTCTGTGACAATGTCACGGAGACTTATATGGTTAGTATGCCCTGTATTTTTACTTTTTTCCTTAGATGAATTATGAAACAATTTCTTTGGACCAATCAATTTTTCCATTAATGTAGACTGCAAATTTATTTATAGATTTTAGCAGGTTATAATTCAAATGTGTCAACTTTTGATCTTCACTTTCGGTACTAGTATGTCTACATCTGACCTAGTCTGCTAGGAATTTTTTTATTTGTCATTGTCGCCTAACTTGAACGTAAACCTTTGATCTTAGGTGTATTTATAAACTCGTAGGCATTTGTTCTTCTTTGATACCAGCATAGCAACATAATGTAGACTCCATTGTCCCTCTTTGCCTCGGGGAAAGAATGGGGGGGAAATTAACACTGGACATAATATCATAGAACAGTCATAACTTAAACTATGGCAATGGAGTTTTCGCATGTGGTGGAAGCAACATGTTAAGCCAAAATGATCAACTGGGGAGTCTCAATTTTTCAAAATATTTAATCTAAAGTGACTTAAACTAATTTGTTGCTATTGATTCTGACATCGGTTGCCATGGTAACTGATATCTTCAGTAATATGTAAATCTGATAATCTGTCTATTGAACCGATTATTGCCAAGAGCCAGATGCAGTGAAATTGCCAAATTATATTTTCATGATCGGATCTAGCAATGAAAACTTTGGATCAGGCTCTGAATTGTGAAAATGGAATATCAATATAATTACTGTGTTCTATTATGAGAATTCCCACTGGATGGGTCAGTTCCAGAATTCCCAATTTTGTACAGTAGAAAATACATTTTAAATAAAAAAAAAAAATCTCCAAATTTACATTCAGAAAGGAAAGTAGATGATTTAACCTTATATTGATGAAGCTGATCATTTTCGATATGTTCATATTAAGTTACTTCTTGAAGAGATTTCTTATAAGTGAATTGGTTAGTCAAATGTAAGAATTGTGCACGGCTTAGATGTGGAAGATACGTTAGAGAAACAGTTATAACTGACAGTAAGTGATACTCCCCACAGTATGAAATAGAACTGAAATAAAGCATCTAAACATAGCCATGGTGCACACCTGTTTAGTGAATTTCTTCCTGCAGGTGACTTGCAGATGATGTTTTTGGGAAAAGATAGATTTAAAAACCTAGAATATTTTATTTCCAGTTCATTTGATGTAGTGTATATTAGGAGCAGTATAGAGGTATGGAATCATAAGCATGTCAGTTAAAAAGCAATTAAAGCAAGAGAATTGATTTATTTGGTTCTGTATGTGGATAGGAGCACCTGTTTGTGTTTGACAGGTACTAGTTGTGAAATGAGATTTGCTGCATTCCATTTTTAACTCGTTCTCTCTCTCTCTCTCTCTCTCTCTCTCTCTCTCTCTCTCTCTCTCTCTCTCTCTCTCTCTCTCTCTCTCTCTCTCTCATGCAGTTACTTGCCATGTCTTCTCTCTTACATTTAAACCATACATTTTTTTTCAGTTATCCTATTGACATATCACTAAGTGAATGTTTTCTGTCAATAACCTCTCAACAACTTTCTCAAACAGACAGTTTTCAGGACTTGAAAAAAACATTTTCAACAAAGATATCTAGGGCTTTTACTCTAAGGACATGTATAAATTTGGTTTTTATCAAAATACACTTAGAAAGATTTAAACTATTGTGTTTGGATGTCAAGAACTATGATATCATGGAACAAATATTTTAAGAAAAGATTTGAGGTGTATTATTATGTGTTGGGAGTTAGGTGGCTATATCAAGACTAATCCGTTTTGCTACCTTTTGTATTGCTTCACATGCCAGTATAACAACAAGGCTTGATTTATGTCCATATATTTGTCCGTATGTCCTTAGACGATGTAGCCACTCCAGTCTAACAAAAGGGACGGTGGTACAGGTGGACTATTATTCATGTTTAATTACTATTTCCACCTTTCATTAATTTGATTGCTGTAACTAATAGGTAGGCTCTGGGCTTAGGGAGGTGATATATGCACCAATTTACTTTTGACTGTCTTTTTACCACCTGCTTTTTGAATGGGTTTTAAAGAAATTCTTTATATTTATGCACACCTGTTATAATTGTGAATAAAGAAATATCGTGCATATGTTTATTAACCACTGTCATTATTCAATCAAAACAAGTTGTGAGTGTAGAATATTTTACTTTCATCATTGATGGACGCATTTTTTCTGTAATTTTTTAATAAGAAAGACCCAAATAATTCCCAAACAAAATTGTTAGAAATTATTTAGAAAATGAACAAAGACATATTCAGTTCATGACTATTCCTGTGCTAGTCGGCTCATTTCAACCATTGGTCCTATTCACCATAGCCGTGATCTCTCTATTAAAGGGTTTCCTTCAAATGATTGCTGATAGTCCTATGGGACAGAAGGACATCTCTGTGGAGCAATCCTTTATCAACTTTCCAGTTGGCAAGCCTTTGTTTAGGTTAAGCATATTGGCTTTTAGCGCATTCTGCTCATTTTCTACTGAAAACCATGGTTGACTTAATATGCTTTTCTGTTTAAGTAATTTTTGTTTGTTTGGCATTGTAAGTACATCTAGAAACTAGGACAAATTGGTTTGAAATAAATAGAATACCATGTCGCGACTATGTTTGCAATTGTGTGTGTATATCCCATTGGTATCAAATCTACATTCAGATTAGTTTTGGAAGGGAATTTAAATGCCCATCTCAAACATATCAATTTGGAAATTAATTTACAATAAATATGTCTGTGTTTGTGAATATTATGCCAAGATAAATCCACAGTTAAGGCTACGTTAGAGAGCTGATGGGAAAATAACTCTCTAGGCTTATCAAGTTGTTCATATCATAAATGTCAATTCTGGTGGTCTGATGCTGAAAATAGAGCTATAAGTCAATTGTAGCACATGTATACACAATTTTGTGACAGTTTACTTTGAGAGATTGAGATATTATATGGAACATTGAATGGGAAATGTAATTTTCATCTGCGAATGAAAAAATAACTAAAAGCTAGCTGTCCCTCCTATCTGAGTGTGATTTTTCTTTCAAAAAATTGTTTTATAAATACATTTTTGTTTTTTTCTGTCTGTCCATCTCACAAAATGTATGACCTGCAGAATTTTTTAAGCTTATCTGAAAATTGAGGATTTCTGGTATAAAAAGGAAGAAAAATGCATTGATATTTTTATTCATCATTTCAGGCTCACGTCGTTGCTGCATTTGAACAGAGTTTGTCTAACATGACTTCCCGCCTTCAAAACCTGACATGCACAGCAGAGGCAAAGGTGAGTTATGGGTGACACTAGGTCTTAAGTTGGTTGGGGATGTATTAAATGGGAATTTGAAATACCTGTTCTTACAAGTGCAAATTAGTCATCCAGTTATAATTTACATCAAGTTTTTTAATCTAATGCTAGACATACTACATACATAGTCCAATAATAGATTTTAAAACTTAATTTATTTTTTCGCTATCATTGGGTCAAGTCAACATCATAATATACTGACCAAATGATCAGAATGTGCTGGCTACCATAAATTTTCCACAATCTAAAATTGATCTCAGAAATGGTAGGTCTGTTAAACTGTGTCTGGCAATATTGATCATAGGTGGTGTGTTTGTACAGTAATATTCATTTATTTGAAACTCAGAGAGTGAAATGTCTTGTCAAAATTTCAAATGTGATTTCTGATGATTATGTGTGGTTAGTTTTTTGTCTATTTTGGTCAATGATAATGACTAGGGTAGTCAGTGAGGAGCTTATCCTGGGGCACAAATAGATATATTTACTCATTGGGCAGTGAACCAGATAACACCCAAACCAAAGTTGTATGTATTTAAAGAACTATCCTGTGTTTCCGCTGTCATCCAGAAAGGATGGTTACAATAAGTACAGGACACTGAATTGTCCGTCCTGCTAAGAATTGGAATGAGACATGAAATAACTCAATTTTGACAAGAGGGTCAGTTGGAACAAATATATTTAACTATATAACAAGTAAATAAAACATTTGTAACTGCATAGCCTGACAGGCAGCAAGATTAATTTGCTGCCAAGTAAATTTGTCTGACTACTCAATGATTTTTCATGTGCTGCTAATAATTAGCCATCAAATACCCATTTGCTTACGCGGCCAAGTTCAGCTTTAACCTGGCCATAGTCAACCCCCATTTTTGTTCTCACACAGGTCTCTTGCAACTTTATTTTCTTACAAGGAAAAACATGACAGACTTTTATTATTGCCATCAAAAAGCCATGAACATACAATGAAACAGTACACACATTATCATAAATTTTGTCAGTAATAGGGGAGGTATAAAAGAAAACCAAGGTGCCTCCCCCAAATAATCTGTCAGGTTCTCCAGAGATGGTAACTGATGACAGGTAAAAGATGTATAGTTCTTGTCAAGGAGTCACATATGAGATAGTTATGAGCTGTCTTTAACATCTCTTATCCTACCTGACATGAAAACAAGCTGTTGACACGAAATCCTGTCTCTATGCATACTCATTACTTAGGTGACTACTGGGATTGAAAGATGTCCTTTTACCACGATGGGGTAGGTTTTTGTGTTGAATATTATCTAAGTGCAAAATTATTGCACAATCTAATCTTTTGAAGAGATATTGTGTGATAACTTGTGCCATGAGGGAAGATCATTCAAAGAATTACAATTCACATGTATTCCTACTTCTGGCTATTTTTCTCAGTGCTAGCTACAGTGTTGTTCATGCCATTTATAAAACAAGATAAATGGAAAGTTAAGAACATGCTTTTTCTTCCTCACTTGAACTATTCCCCTTGGCATCAGAACATTTTATGAGGGGGAAAAATGTACATTAATATCCCATCGATTGAAACAAGCTTGGAGCATGAACCTCTCTCTATCTCTCTCTTTTAAGTTCTGACTTGAGATTTGATTTTGTTGGTAGAAGTAGAAAATTTTATTTGAGTTATTTGATAAAAGTTTCTACCACCCGTCCTTTATTTTCTCTCTCTTGTTATCTTGTTATGGCTATTTATTGTGAACTGATTGCTCATTTCTAGGACACAGATGAGATCCTTAAAACCATCGAAGCCTTGCGACTCCAGCGAGCTCTTGTACGAGTCGCCCGCATAAATATGATGTCCACCGATTGGAAACAGGCTGAAGTGAGATCTTTTAGCTCTATCCAGGCTTGACCAAGTTTATAATCCTTTTACTAACCCCTGTGTGTTCCAAAATATTTATGATAATATTTATATTAGATTTGTCTGTTTCCCTTCCTCCTCATTCAAGGTGAATGGACTTTTTTGGTACATACCTACCATGAAAATGCCCGTCCTCCTTGTTTTTTGCTAAATGTTTGCAAGCATGTTTTAACAACAAACTCATTTGTGGAAATAAGGGGACAAAACTACATTTTCTTGTGTTAATCCACCTTTCAACTGTAATAGTTGATTGGTGGAGATGGTGAAGTAAGGTTGCCATAGAACCTCAAAACTATGACAACCATATTTATTTCAAAAGGCAAAAAAAAAAAAAAATCAGATATTTTCTTTTAAAAATGATTGAGTTATCTCAGCCTGGAGAGTGTTGACAGATTCCACTGTATTCCATCTCCCATGGAGAACTTCTCTTATGATCATCTTGTACATGTAGCTTAGATCTGTAACCCTGAGAGCTTAGCTTCCCTTAGCTCTGGGATTTTAACACAACCCAATGTGTTAACTGCATGCCTTGATGACTAGTTGATTGCCTGCCTCCCTGCATGCCCTGTCTCATCTGGAATGTGCCATGCATACAGCCAGCTCTGTGCACCCTGGTTCCTCATAGTGCAATGTTTATTATGTTGGTATGTTTTTTATCTTATAATACTGTACTTTACTCAGTTGTTATTCCAATTGTGCAAACATATTTATATACATATAGCACATATTATAACATCACAGTGTATGTCATGTGCCATTTGTATGATGAATAAGTGTTTGATGAATAAGATGGTAACCCCCCCCCCCTCCCCCCAAATCCCCTGATCAGCCCTACACTGCTCTATATAATTTTCCTAAGACCAGGTTTTGGGAAAGTGTTGGGATCATTGAGTCTTTCTCTGATTGTCAGTAAAAGCCACAACTTTTCATTTCACAGACATTATCTCCTTGTTCTGAGAAACCTCTAGGTGCAATTTTTATTAGAAAATAACTATGTGGGATACTATATTATCTGTGTATATTCCCCTCTCCTCCTCCTTACTTTCTTCTTATGGCAAGGGTTGATTGTTTGCATGTGGACTGTATTAATTTCAGACTATTTATATTCTAATAAAAAACATTTAGTAAAACATTAGCAGTAGGATGTCAGACATAACCAAATTTAGCTCCTGGATATAAACACCTTTTCCATGTTCCAAGTTTTTAGTAAGGCTAGCTGATTGGTATTCAGTTTAGACTAACAGGAGAAGACATGAACATATCAAATTTTTTCCTTTTTTTTTTTTAAGGCGTGCAACTTAATAACTAGAACCTAACCAAATATGGTGTTTTCTTGATGCCTCCATTACGTTGGAGTTAGTAATCATTGCTGGAGCACATTTGGATTTTGTCAGTTACATTTTAAACAAAAACAGTAGTTGGTCGCTGCCACTTATGAAAAAAAAAATTTTTTTAATGCTATCAGATAAATCCCAAATGAAAAGCTTAGTCTCCTTGTGGGTACATCAGATGGCTTGTAAGATGTAAGATTTACAAATAACTGAAGAGATGGGCATTCTGAACTTTTCAAGCCCCATCAGTCCTAAACATGGGTGATTTCTGTGTATAAACTCCACACTTTCCAGTTCAACAGTGCAAAAATGATTGCATTTTATGCCATTTATAATTTGATTTGCAGGACACTGAACTTGCAGAATTGCGTGCTACCATTGAGGCACTGAAGAAACAGAGCACCACTCTGCCCTTCCAACAGATCAACTTAGCAGATGCCCCTCTCAGCCCCAACAGTGCGCGTAGACATGCATCTGTATCATCCACTGGCTCAGGTAGGTAGAACAGAAGCTGTGAGAGTTGTGTGTGTGTTCTTGTGGCTATGATGTTTTTTAGTGCACATTGTTGAATGGACAGATGAATTAGAATGACTAACTTTAAGTTTGGCATGCCAAAGGACTTACATGTAAAAGATGAATAGAATACGTAATTTGCATTACATGAAAAAAAACTTTCGTGTAAATTGCATAAGATTGATAGGTTAAATGAAAATAGAAAGGGTTTAATTTATAAGATGCAGCTGTGTCTCTGAATTCCATTCTTTTCCCAACCACAAAGCTGTCCAGACACCACAGATGTTTACTATGCCTTTCCTCTGTCAGTTGCAGTAATCTCTGAAAAAAAAGTGCAAGGACTTGTAACGCTGGTCTTGTAAATCAAAAATGTGGTTCCCCTAGGCTAGCTGTCTGATCAACTCGATATTTACTGCACTTGGATGTTTTTCTTGTCAACACTTACTGCGTGCTTTTTGAGGTTATAAAGTATCTGGGAAAATTGCTACAAGAAGATCTTGAGTACAACTTTATAAGAAAGACTTCTTTTTTTTTTCTTTTTGGAGAATGTTACACAGATTTTTCAAGGAGTATAGAAACTTTGCCAAAATGTTAAAAGTAGAAGATATCTGTTATGTCTGGTAGAGTGCCTCTTATTGCACCAAATGTGATTGATAAGCCACTGAAGTACATGGTAAATGAGAAAAAGTAATGTTGCCTCTCGAAAATAGGTTGATCTTGTTGATAGGACATGAGAAAAAAAAAGGATTGTGTACATCACGTGCATTTGGAGGAAGAAAGAAAATTCTGTCACTTGCATGTAAGTTTGAATATTATTTTTTAGAAGAAAAGATTAAGCATAAGAGAAATGCAATTTGTGGCATGCGACACTGTTATTTGCCCTATTTTGGGAGGGAAATATTGAAAAAGTACATCTAATTTCCGATCTTGGTTGTATGAATTGTTCATATGTCATGGTGCAGTGTCATGTAACCTGGTTAGGCTAGCTCGACATGTTGATTTATCTTTATGACATTGTTTCACGCAAGGAGGAAAGGGTACTTAAAGAGACAAAACATAACTTAGGTAATCATCTGTGTTAGATGGGAATGGCTGCAGACAGATAGCCCAGACAGTTGTGTGTAAAGACAACCTACATACAGAACTGAAAAGGTAATATAGATGTGATCTGACGTTAGTAACATTACATTTCATAGTATGACATGTTTTTTATCATAGTGACATTACATTTGTCAATGAATCATTTTAAAGTCCACAAAGGAGATGTTTGTGATATACCAGAGTTCTAGCTGTAAGGGTCTGTATAGACATATTTACATGCATCTCTTTACCTAACGTATGTACTTTCAATGTGACACAACAAGTTGTAGTGGTTGTACTTTTGGCTCTCTGGTTACACCAGCAAGATATAGAGGATGTTTTACAACATTTGCACTAGATATTGATATGTATTCTAATGTTAGAGTATATTGGCAAGCAAAGATATACAAGTCATAACTACATCTAACGCCTGTGTGCCACCAGGTGTGTGTCTTAATGAGGAATCTCTTGGCACAGTCTGAGGTGAGAAAGTGCTGTTTAATGCTGACACAAGGAAATGTAGGTTTTATTTGATATAAAAGATGTGGAATGCCATGTGATATAGGTTATCAAAAACACTGATAGGCAGCATACATAATTAAGATTCATTAAAATGTGTATGTTACAACTCGGTATCAAAAAAAAAATGATGGGTACTTGTGCAGACATGTTTTGGCAACTGATAATTGATACAGTTTTGTAATTTTGATGAATAATGTAAGAAGGTTATTTGGTAGCTTGATAGGCACCCAGCAACACAGTTCATATTTGGAAATAAACACAAATAAGATGTCCTGCTGAAACATAACAAAATATGATGCCAAAAGAAAAGAAAAAAAAACTTATGGAAGACGGAGTAAAAAATCTGCAAGGATTGACGAGGGCAAAAGTAAGTGATATTTTAGGCAAGTTGATGAAAGATTTATGTGGCATGACAAGAGTTCATTGTTCAACTTAATGACATGATACTTACCTCCCAGACTGGCTTTCCTTTGCCAAAATGTGTGCAGGATATAAAAAGAGAGAATGTCACACTTGAAGGAGAGAAAGGGGAGGAGGTGGAGAGGTCCTAGATCTATGGCTGTAGGACAGACAGTTGTCTAGTGGAAATGATGTACAGAGAATTGATGAAGTGAGTGGTACGTCTTTTCCTTATGTACCTCTATGTGTCTGTCTACTCCAGGGAGACCACCATACATAGTTATTCCCAGACAGCAGCCAAGTCCTCATTCTCAACTCCTTGAATTATAGTGTGTGGAAGTGTTGACAATACAGAAGCCATTTGTCATTTTAGACAAGTAAAAATATTTACAAAAAATAACAACAAGGAATAATGAAAAATGATGACATTGGCGACATTAATATATAATGTACCACTGTGATATAAGATAAAAGTCCTCTGCTGTGTTCAGTTCACCCGGTATGGCTTTTAGTCATTTCTGTGTCCTGGTAGGCAGACAGGGAATCAGAGAGAGGACAGCCACTTTATCATCAGATTGTAATCTGTAGAGAAATCACTGTAATCTGGGGACACACACCACAGGGGTGCTGGAGGCTGGCTAAGGTAAAGTTGCACTGGAAATAATGATGACAGAACTTTGAGGAGTGGCCACCCAGGGACAGAGAGACTGAGCAGTGTTTGTTGACATTCAGGAGTAAAAAGGGTATTTGGGGATTTTTTTTTCTTACTTTTTTAACCCAGTGTTTGAAAAAAGTGGGTCTCTAGTATTTTACACAGAGTTTAATTTTCAGACTTTGCAGTGACAGGTTGATTTTACTTCAAGTGATTATGATTGACTTCAAGTACAAATAAATAACCATTAAAAGTAATGAGAATTAAAACCATAGGGGGAAAAAAGCTTTAGATGCTAAATACTGCATTTGAGATGACCGTTAGATATTTTCCAAATTAGTCGAATAACCACAACTGGTATGCACATGAAATATTTCACCTCTATTTATGATTACAGCCACATGGCGCAGCTTTTGATCTTCAATCAAATTTCATCCCAGCTGAACTTCACTGGACGTTTTTGACAGCGGACGCCTGGAAAAACAATTTACTTCAGTTCTTGTTACCTGAATTAGCATTCATATTGCAGTTCAGGAATAATCTTACATCAATTTAGTCCTGACATTTGCCCCTCAACTGTTTGGCTGTCATTAAGAAATGCCCATTAGGATGTGATGTGTTTTGATGCCCATGGTTGGCAGAGCTTGCACCCGCTGGTTTCATATGTATTCTGTATTATAATAAAGTAACTAAGCTAGGGTAAAATGGATATAAACATTGTTGTTTAAAAAATATATCAAAGTACAAATTTCATCAGAAATGTAAATCACTAAGAAAAATTCTGTTATTTGCTTTTGGGCACAGACAGAGATGTTGGACACTTTTTTGTCAGTAAAAAATTCAACATACAAATGTTATTGTTATCAAGTGACTAGAAAATAAAACAAGAATATCTACTGACACTTAATGTGATACAAATCTATCTAACCAAATTGTTGAAAATGTCGACTAATTACCTACAGGAGTCAAGAGATCTCAAATTCCTGTAACATTTTGATGAAAGAGACCACACAGTAGCTTTTAATAAGACCTAATAAATTATTAAAGATATCACCATGGCAGTGCCTTTAATATTTTAGAAAGACTCCCATCATTAGAGCAATAATGGTGACATATTAGACTCATTCCCACCAACCTAATTAAGAAGCCCAATAACAGTTGAATAAGATTAAGCCCATCTTAATTAGATTATTCTGCCATTATCTCATTCCACTTTTAATTGATTGGGCTTCAAATAAGCTGACTTGATGTATGGGGCCAAGGGCTCATTAACTGTTAATTACAGTTAATGGAGTGAAGCAAGTCCAGGTATTGTATGTGTGACATGAAATGTTGATGAGGTTAGTGAGGGATGTGTGTTTGAATAGTCTTTAGCATAGGAGCATGATAAGGGAGAAGAAGTGTCATACTGCTACTCTCCTGTGAACATGAGGAAAGAGTACAAATAAAGGATGATTGCTGTTTAAAAAGGTATTTGTAACTGAGTGATGTCTCTTGTGTTATAATCAAGTTTTTTTAAAGGAAGACATGATATCATAAAGTTTGGGAGATCCTGGGATGCGGTTCTTGCTGTCAGTTGTAATCGCAGAAAAGAGTGATAAAAGGTAGTTATAAAGTGTTATAGTTACAACATTACTGATACTGTCAGATGAACTGGAGATTCGCCCTAAGAGAAGTTTACCTTCTTTTAGTTTGACACATAAAAGATTGCAAATCATTATATTTTATATACACATGGAAGATAACTGTTGTTAACAGATATTGTATTACATTAGCATTATATCTTTGTGTGAATACTTTCTGACTGAATCATTTAGATATTCAAAAAAATCAGTGGATAAAACTTAATGTAAAAGTACTAAAATGTATACTACTTATTAATACCTTAAGGGTACGAATACATGTGAGTCTAATGAGTGCTACACATGCAATGTTGGAGTAGCATACTGTCCATGAGCAGAATTAAGATGTCACCAACATCACTGTAGTGATATATATGCAGCCTCAGACTTACATGCGACAGCCTGATATAATAAAACGTGGGTGTGTCAGCTTGCAGACAGTACAAATTGTTTAGAGAGGCGTCATCCAATGTGATGTTATGTAATGGCAACCTCTGAAGTTGTCCTTTACCATGTCATGTCTGTTAGCTATAGGGATATGATGCAATGTGAATGTTTGCCACTAGCAGATTGGCATACAAGAGTTGAACCTGTATGTCCGGAATCCAAAATAAAGCCCATTGTGTTATGCTGGACAGGTGAAATCAGTGCAAAGGCTAGCAGATACATTTTGTAATCAAAGAGCGCATTCTCAACGAATTAAGCCAGGCTTTACAAAGCCGGTGACCTAAAAATGGCGGACGTACATGAAAGAAAAACCGCCTAATCTTTTAATAGTCTCTCCGCCTCTCACACGCCTCCCCACACGCCTCCCCACACGTCGTCCCTGCGGGGTACAGTAATTAAATCTCGGCTCCGAACATTAATATTTCCGTGAATATCTCTGGTGATATTATCTCCGTAGATAGTCGATTCATTGCTGCTCTACGGGCCAAATTATTCCTTTTTCGTCTCTGTTTTCAAAGATAATAGAACAAAGCTTTTTTCCTTCGATCGCCTTCAGCCACCATGCTTTCTTCACCACGAGTTTAACTGATGAGCATGCGCACTTAATATTTCTCAGGTAGCTTCCACATGGTGAACGGAGACGCGATTTAATTACTGTACCCCGCAGGGACGACGTGTGGGGAGGCGGAGAGACTATTAAAAGATTAGGCGGTTTTTCTTTCATGTACGTCCGCCATTTTTAGGTCACCGGCTTTGTAAAGCCTGGCTTAATTCGTTGAGAATGCGCTCAAACTGAAGTAATGGTCATTGTTATGTATATACATGTGCATGCTTACTAGTATCTGTATGTTTGTACAGGCACATGTTCATGCTCACGCAAGCAACATTATGATCACCTGTGACCATTTTGTCTATAGTGATAAAATGCAAAAAGATGTATGTTACTGAGAAAAAAATTCTTTGCAGTAATAAAAATGTCCATTAGGAATGCACCTGTTCCTGGTGACCTTTGGAAATAATTGTGTCAAATGAGCCGTGCATCCTTCCCCATCTTGTAATGTTTTACTGCCACTATATCTCATACCAACATTAGCCACTGTGTTTATGGTACCACGGGTATCCCAGGAAACTTGCATCATGATCACATACTCTAATATCAGCTGTTAGTATTAGTGAAGGTAAGAGGATATATTTTTGTCCCATTCGCATACTGTTTTGCAAAAAAAAAAAAATGTTCAAAACAAAATGGATGCATGCAGAATCGCATAGAGTTAAAGGCATTTATAACAAAAAAGTTTTGCTGTTAAAAATGTAAAGCAAGTTTTAATTTGACATACACACAGTGATGTACAGGGTGGTTGCCTGGCAACAGTGAGGATGCTCAACATCTGAAATGTCAACAGGATACTGAGAGTTGTTATGAAGAATCTGAGGAATCACAGAAATCAGGGTCCCGGGATTGGGAGAAGGTAGTTAGTGGTAGAACACTGTATACCTGAGTATGAAGAACAGTAATAAGTGGCTCTGCAGGTAGATGTTCGCATTCCATTGGTAAAAACTCCCAGCATGCGTTCCCAAAACAGTTTCAAACGGCAGAGATGCAATATAAGATACATTGCATCTTTTAGTAAGCTTCATACTGGTTATCTGAAGAATGCAAGCTGCTCTCAATAATGGGGATTTTCTAGGATTTATTCACATGAATCTTTCTTAGAATTCAGGGAAAATCAGATGTTAGTAATTTCAAACTAGAGCGGGGATTAAGACTCATTTGGAATTCATAAGACCACAGGTATGAATGTTTTAATTGTTTTGTGTCTGGTATCTGGTGAGTTTTATTGCACAATTTATGATTAGAAGTTCATGTTTCTACTTGATTAATCAGGGAGGACTATATAATGTTGTTGGTGTCAGTGTTTTAAATCAGACTAAACCAAAATTATAAACATGCTTGTAAGTTTGTTTTTTTTAAATTAATTATTTAGTTGTAACATATTTAAGTTAAAACACCAGCTCTTTAGCTGTCTATGTTGTGAGCTAATTTAGACACGAGATCTGTACTCCTCAGTAAAAAAAAAATGGCATTTATTGCCAACATGAACGTTTGATGCCGGGAGCACATTTAATTAACAGCAGACTTTTCACCATTCAGACTCAGGATATGAAGTTAATTCTGCTCATTATAACATTACTCCTTCAGTGCAGGTCAATAGTTAGTGCTTGCACATCTTTTACATGTCCAACTACCTGACAGACATGGTTTAGCAACAGTCACGTTTGAATGTAATGGCATCATATATGTGTCAGACGCAATATTTCAGTTGTTTTGCAGGAGAAGCATGAGAATAACAAATAATGACAGTAATGGTTGGATGAGATGTCTGTGTTGATAAAAGAAAGATGAATGTTGTGACATGTCTAGAATTGATTGCTTTCATTATATGACTACTGCAAAAATGGATCCCATAATCAAATCAAACAAGTTTGGCTTAATTTGTGTTTGATATTTATTTACTGCGAGGGTTTTGTTTTGAAAACAAGTGGGGTTTTAATTTTTTGTAAGGATAACTGTAAATACAGTAAAATAAATTAGTTTTTCTTATTTTCGTTACCTTACATGTCATTCTGTTTTGAAACATCAGATGCTCCCTGCCAACATTCAATAGAAAGATTTATTTATAATCTGTATGTTAAACTTTTCAATAATTTGTATATTTCTAGCATATGGTGGCGAGAATGCCACATCAGGAAATGGCCGTATAAGTCGTCAGATGTCCTCTGAGAGCATGTCCAGTCTGAACAGTATGTCCAGTGCCTGCAGTGCCACCAGCCAGCAGTCCTCCACCACAGATACTGAGAGTGGAAAGAAGAAGAAGAAAGGCAAGGGGGGATGGGTAAGTTGCATAGCATTTCATAAGTATTGTGGTTTACAGTTCGCTGTTATATGTGGTAATTTTTTTAATCAACTATAAAATTATTCAAAAGGGAGACTATCATAGGTTGTAAGCTGGCCACTCAAACTCAGTCATCCTGCAATTTTTGGTTCCTTGAAGTAAAAGTCATCCTTTCCGTCGTACTGAAGACAGCATGTTTTGGTAGCAGTATCATATCAAATCATGTTGTGCTTCTTAACTTCTTTCTTCATGTTACATGTTCGTGTAAAATTAGCTCCACTTTTGATCTCTGTGGAGCCTGTGGTTAATCAGGCTTGAGTCACAGCTTCATTAATGCAGAATCTTGGCATCAAACTAGAACATGGCAGAAATAATGATGTAACTCAATTTCAAATTAGATGTCTTTCCAATAGCAGCCTTAGGCACAGCTATTTTAGAACAGACTGGCAATATCGTTTTACCTAATCAGTACACTTCACCCAGTAATGAAATCCAAAAATACAAGAAGAAATGAATAGCAGCGGATTTGATTATTCTGGGAATACAAAAATTAATGATTTCAATTTGAAAAACAATCAGCTGATGTGAACTGCACAGTAGTGCTCTTGTAGCTGTAGTGATCATTGCTTTATTTTTGACCTTCAGTTACGCAGCTCCTTCAGTAAAGCATTCTCTCGAAAGAAAAACAAGAACGGGTCTGTATCTGATGTGGAGCCTGACACAGCCAGCATGCGGTCAGCGGACTCGGTGCCCAACTCCCCCATGGTGTCCACTCACATGCCCCACGGGATCCACATGATCAATGGACCAAACACTCCCGTCACACCCTCGCTGTCTGCCTCTGGGTAAGATTACTTAATGTTTTGTAACTGGAATAGGTTCAGATTTAGCTTCAGCTTTCATTTTATCTGCATACAATTTAAATACACAGAATTTAGTTCAAGTTAAAATTTTACACTCAATAGAGGTATGAAGATAATCAGAAATTTTACCTTTATGAATTTTAAAAAGAATTCTTGATAAAGACTAATTTTATTATTGGCTTTTTTCTAGTATGATAACTTGCCAGGTTCAAATGTATATCTTACCAAGAAACACTATTTTAATGGCCCAGTATTTTTTGTTTTAGTCTATATGATGGCATTGATGGAGCAGCATCTGGTGAATCTGTTGTCAAATTAAAGAAGCAATTGCGTGAGAAGGATATGAAACTAACAGATATTCAGCTCGAGGCCTTGTCGTCTGCTCACCAGTTAGATCAACTCAGAGACACCATGAATAAGATGCGGGTACGGGATCTTTAGTTATTTATCATTCTCAACTAACCTTAGATGACATTACCCAGCCCCACCCACTCACTTTCCTCCTATGCTTTGTTTTCAAATGTTAATAATGAGAAAATGTAGAGGAGAGTTTCTGTCTTGTTTTCATGTAGTGTTCCCCTGTTGTCACAATTATATTTAATCACAAAAATATTATAATGCCTGTTTGCAGCTGCTTTTACAGAGAATTCATAGGTTTAAATTATTTTGTTTACAACTAGCACCCTGAAAATTAAACTCAGATAAAGCATATTGCAGTTTTTCCAAAATGCCACTAATTATTTGTGAAGTTTTTATCTTAGAGTTTTGCAACAAAGTTTAGTCTGAAGTTTCACTTTCATCTTGTTCCCCTCAGGATGAGATGTCCTCACTGAAGGCTGATAATGACAGGTTGCAGCGGATGATGAACAGCAAGTCATTGACCTCTTCTCAAAGCTCTGACCTGGAGCGAGAAAGAAGGAGCACAGGATCCCTAGACCGGGAGAGAAAGGTTGGGCTGGGACAGCATCCCAGTCTGGAGATGCTGCTGTCCCAGGAAAGTCCTGATAAAACTGAGGGCAGGAAGATAGCCATAACTGTGCTACTCACACCTACTGGGGATATTGGGAAAGTAACAGAGGTATGAATGATACATATTGTTCATATTTTTTATCAGTATCCCAGTTAAATAACAGCTGCTGCTGAAGACTGAAAGATTTTATTTGTTTGGATTAATAAAACAAAGTAATTTTTACTAGCATTAGTTTATCAATTATTAAGAACTGCACAACAAGTACTGCGTTATGATATCACAAAAAGCAACTTTTATGTAAGTTTTTGCATTAATTGATCAAGCACCAACTGTTATACTTCCAGGCCAGTAACCAGCCTGAGGTGGTGATAGGAGCCATCCCTGTCAGTGGGAAGATGAAGTGGGATATGTTGGACTCCATAGTGAGGAGAATGTTCAGAGAATATGTGCTGAGAGTGGATCCTGTCACCAACCTTGGCCTTAATGCTGAAAGTGTACTGGCTTATCATATAGGAGAAATCACAAGAACAAAAGGTAGGGTTTTTAATATTTTATTGTCTGCTTGTTTGTATCCATACATAGCTGTGCTAAGAACCTTTTCTAATCATCTTGGATTGATTTCTGTGTCTGTTTGTCACATTTACTTTATGTTTATGAAGTAGGAATAAAGAAAAGGAATCGTAACATATTTATAAGGGTTGATGTGTGCAGCTCATTCTACATTCTTTACCCAAACATTCTCTTTTGCAGGAAACAATACAAATGAAAGCAACCACAAGTAGCTAAAAGAATCTGATCTATGGTTTCTTGTATGTTAATATTGACTTTCTGTTCATCTTCAGATTCTGGGCTGCCTGAATTACTGCCCTGTGGCTACTTGGTGGGGGATACTACCACTATACAGATTAGTTTGAGAGGTGGGTATATTTACAAGGGACATGCATTCAGATAAATCAAAGGCAATGAAATATTTGTCAGTGAAAAGATACACTGTGTATATATTTCTTCTTACATGTTGAAAAGAATTGTACCTGCTGAGCTGAAATATTTGTATATTTCACCTCTTTTTTAATGGAATGATAATGAAAATGATAATTTGACAGAATAGTTGTCTTTTTAATCAAGTCTTCAAACATTTTAATTCACTCTTATTATTATGTCTACTCTCCTAGGTGTCTACCAGAACAGTGTAGATGCGGCTGCTTTCGAGACCCTCATCCCAAAGTCCATCATGCAGCGCTATGTTTCGTTACTGCTGGAGCATCGCAGGATTATCTTGTGTGGCCCCAGCGGCACGGGGAAGACGTATCTAGCTCAGAAAATGGCCGAACACTTGGTTATTAGGTGAGTGGCAAACAGGGTTTTGTCATTTTTAGCAGTAAACTAAAGAATGTTGTAATTCTAGACTAAGAAGGCCCTTTTCAAAGAAATTTTGTATGCAGAAAAGATATTAGAAATTGGTTGAAGTTGCAATTTGGTGTCCAATACAAATGTGGAGACAGTACTATAGAAATAAAAGCTGTTTTACCACATTTAACTAGATGATGTATACAAGTTTGTCATTATTTTGTTTTAATGTATTCTGTAATTATTCTATGGAGCTAAACAAAATTATGAAGTCATGAAAAAGAATTTGTAAAAGCCCTTACTGTTACTTTACCTATTGATAACAAGTTGATTAAACATTTTCTCCCCAGATCAGGGAAAGAGTTGTCCATGGGTTCAATAGCCACCTTCAATGTTGACCACAAGTCCAGCAAAGAGCTGCGGCAATATCTGGCCAACATAGCTGACCAGTGTGAGAGCAGCAATGTGGGGGATTTGCCCAGTGTTATCATCCTGGATAACCTCCATAATGTCAGCTCACTGGGAGAGGTGTTCAATGGCTTCCTCAGCTGTAAATATCAGAAGTGGTGAGTAGCAGTTTGGATGGTTGTGCATGCACAAGTCTCTGTCTTTTGGCATATCCCTATGCAGACATGAGATTTTTCTGCAGAAAAGCGAAATTCCTCATTTTTTAAATTCAATTCTGATGTTTCCTGAGATTCGTCAAGGTTAGGTGTTGGGTCCCATGATAGATATTCATGTTTCATGTCTGCCTGTGTAATACTTTGCACTTATTCTGTGCTGAACTCCTGTGTGTCTGATTATTGTTGTATTTTAAGCAAGTATTTTCTGTTTCAGTCCATACATAATAGGCACAATGAATCAGTCTACCTGCTCAACCACCAACCTCCAGCTTCACCACAACTTCAGGTAAGTACATATTGTAAGACGTGTGTGTGTTATCTGGTAAAAAGAATAATGCTTCTTAAGCTTAATTAATACAGTTAATTCAAGGAATATCATTTCAGTATCTTTGCTGTCTTTATATCTTCTTTTTTCTCCATGAAAAGCATTGCCAATTTTTTATCATATTCTAGGTGGGTCTTGTGTGCAAACCACATGGAACCAGTGAAAGGATTTCTGGGAAGGTATCTGAAGAGAAAACTAATTGAAGCAGAAGTTACTGGAATCCGCAACAATGACTTAGTTAAGATCATCGAATGGATGCCAAAAGTTTGGGCACACCTCAACAAGTTCTTAGAGACACACAGCTCTTCTGATGTAACAATAGGTATTCACTTGTTTTAGAATTCCCTATTTACACATATTGATTATTTATATTGATGCAAGAATTTTTAGATATCCAATATGTTGATTCAACTAATTTAAGCCATATAAGGATTTTATTCCAAATAGTTTTTCCCATTGCATTTATGGTTTCTCATGCGTTCACACCTTAAAAATATTTCCCTTATATATATATATATATATATATATATATATAACCTTCTTGTTCCCAGGTCCTCGCCTGTTCCTGTCCTGTCCAATGGATGTCAATGGTTCCCAAGTGTGGTTCACAGATCTGTGGAACTACTCCATTGTACCCTACCTCCTGGAGGCTGTCAGAGAGGGGATACAGCTGTATGGGCGTCGTGCCCCCTGGGAAGACCCTGCAGAGTGGGTCATTGACAGTTACCCATGGTCAAAGAAAGATGATGGGGGAGATGGGCCGTCCTTGCTGAGACTGAGGCCTGAAGATGTTGGTTACGACTCCCAGGGGTTGCCTGCAGGACAGAAGGCTCCCAAGAGTGCTGCTCAGAGTGAATCTGAGGGAGATCCATTAGTAAGTATAAAAAAACATAAGTTAGTTTGTTCTACTTGTTGATTTTCTGATACTTCTCATGATTGAATTAGAATTTGATGGCAGAGTTAGTGGTCAAACAGCTAGAGAATGGACTTGTGATTATTAATCTTAAATTTGAAGGTTCTTCAAAACTCAATGAAAACTAAGTTTGTTGTGTTGATGAATAAGAGCAGCGCATCTTTAATACCGACTACTGAAGATGCTGATAAGATATTTATGTCTCATAATTTCAGTTAAATATGTTGATGAGACTCCAAGAAGCTGCCAGTTACTCCAGTCCTCAGAGTCAGGACAGTGACTCCACCAGCCTGGACAGTCATAGCAGCAGTCTCAGCAGTGGAATCCAGGACATCTCCAATGCTACTGTAGAGTCCACAATATAACAGACATAATACCAGACATCACTAGATCAGTATTGAACAGACAGGAGCAGTGACAGAAATGAAACACAAGACATTCTCAAATGTTTGTATAAACTGAACTGCCAGAAACTGATGAATATTTTGCTGTATAATCCTGCCAGGTGCCCATGCAAGTGAAATATGTGGTAGCAGTTTGGATGAAGCAGTTAGTGACTGTCCTACCAGTAACCATGGCACTGTTGACGAAGTTTCAGTTACCATGGAAATAATTCTATTCAGTCTCCTTGGCCCAACTTTCAGGCTCAAGGTTAAAAACTGCATGCCTGACTGTGATTCATCAGTACAATGCAGGAAACCAGTAACTTCACATGCACTTTATTAGTAGACTTGTGGATCATCAGTATAAACTGCAGATATTCAGCAAGGATGGTGTATGTGACACCATATTTGCAATCTGAGCTAGTATTCAAGATTTTTGAACATGTAAGATAGATTTGCTTTGAGTGAAGTGTATGATTAAAATACAATGACAGTTATTTCACATCTCAAAAGTAAATGTTCTTAGTGCCTGCAAGGGGAAATTCTTGCAGAGATCAAAGTCCCATATTTACAGAATCATGTTGAGAGAGGTGTTCTGTACAAAGTGTGTTTTTAAAGTGCACAAAATTGTGGAGAGAAAATGCAAACAGGAGTATTTAGTATCAAGTTTGTAAAAAAAGCAATGCAATGATACAGAATGTGCCAACATCCTAAATATATAAGTTTTGGTGCTTTGTACAATAAATATTTACTAAAACAGAACATCTACACAGTTTTTATATACATTTCTGTGTGTAACTATGTAGCATATATGTTGATGTACACTTTGCTATGCAGGGATTCCAAAGCAATGTCACAGTAACTCATTCAGATTAAGTAAAAGCAGCAATAGCAGCTGTGTCTACAGGGAGCAAGTCTTATCACACAGACTGAACTCCATCAGGCTGTATTTCTATGGGATATAGAATGCAGTTATCAAATAATAACAGTGAATATGTAGAATCACGAAAAAAAACTTTGGATCAAAACAAGAAGTGATTATCATATGTTTTAATACAAAGATCAAAGCATAATTGAGCACACTGGATGTGACATTTATGTTGTGTATATTCTATTCTTTTTTATGTGTTTTATCACTTTGATCAGGATTCTTTTTAAAAAAACAAACCTGTAAGACATACAGGCAGTTAATGTAATTTGTTAATACATATTCCTGCAACAAAATGTTCACTTTTTTCCTAAATTTTTTATGTTGAGAAAAGAAATGAAGGAATGACATGTGATAGGAATAAGGAGAACTTGTAAAGCACACTTGATAAGATTGATCAAAATGCCTTGTTTTATTTATTGTACAGTGTAAGGTATTGTTTATTTATTTGTATGTGTACATACTGTGAAATGTATTTAGGTAGTTAGATGGTCTTATGTGGTATAATGTGTGATTTGGGGCGTAATATTTTTACTTTCAACTGTAATTACAAGTAATTATAAATTGGAGTGTGGTAAATTTTACCCATACATTATGTGCTTCCTAACACTACTAAGAAACCTGTAGATGCAGACTGCCAGAATTAACAGAAATTTGTTTAGATGTTGCATTAGAAATGAAAAATCACATTACTTCATGCCCATCAAGTCTAAACCCAAATAAAGATGTTTTATTTTGTTCATTTAGAAAGATACAGCATAGTTCCTGTTGTGTTATTTCTTACCTGAGAACTGAAATGGAGGAGTAATAGTATCTACGGTTGGGAATTCAGCACTGTTGACCTCAATCAGAAACCAATTCTCTGGATCCTTAGGCAACCTTAATTGTGTTTAAAATATAAGGAGACAAAATGTCAATCTTTCCCAATAGCAACTTGGTCTAAAGAGAACATTTGAAATTTCTAAATCAATGAACCAGTTGTGTACCATTTCCTAACACATTAAATTGTACTTTTAGATAAAACATCTATTGAACAAAATTGCTGATGATCTCTCTGTCTTCAAAGTGCACTTGGAATTTACAAACCAACAAAATTTTTGACTATTTTATATCATTGGATATCGCCTATAGTAACAAATTATCTTTGCTTAACGAGCAAATTTCTGACCATTTGAAAACAGATATTACACTTGGACATCTAAAATCAATTGGTGATCAAAATTATCGTCTCAGCGTTCCTAATATAAGAATTGTGGAGAACTAAGGACTATTCTTGAAGATCTTTACTATTCAGATGACGTGTGTCTACTCTCCCACAGGTTCATACACCTAGAAATAAAAACAGAAGACCTTGCAAAAAATGCAAAGCAAATTGGACTAAATGTCAACAAAAACAAGACAAAAATCATGAAGATAACAAGAATGAAGAGTGTTGTCTTATACAGTACCAGAAGGAGTTCACACACTAAGATTAAAAGTAATACAGATGCACACTAGTAGACATAGACAAGTATTAATACATAAATTACATCAAATTTTCCCATCACGCTGAAGATGTTAAATATCATAATATCTGTCTATCAAGACTTTTTTAAAAACATACGTATGAATTTTTCACTTCTGTGTAACGTTTCAGTAAGTAAAACGTTCAGAAAAGGTGCAAAAACAGCAATGGCAAATTTCAATTTGCATTTGAATTGTTTTTTTTAAAAGGCTCAGGTAAAATGACAGACGTTTGATAAAGTAACTGTTTTCATCCGGTTTCAGAAAAAAAATGGAAAAACAGGATTTTCACACGAAATCGAATTTTTCTCAAAGAAATATAAGGTAGAAGGTTCAGCAAGGCGCAAAAGCTGTTGGCTAAAATTAATTACATAATATAGGATGGTATCATTCTGTTTCGTTTATTTATTTACGGTGCACACCCATCTAACCAGAGAATTATATTAGAATCTGTGAATAACTGTTTAAGTATTACGTTTACTGTAAATCCTTTATTTTATATTATTTCATTACACACACGAATCTATCAAATCATTTAAATTGCAAAGTCTGTAGTTAGCCGTATGGTTGTAAATCCGGTAATAGTCCAACTCATACGCTTTGCAGGTGCAATACTGCATTCGAATAAAATTTGAAACAGTGTCTACTTCCACTAATGCCTCGATATCTTTAGAAACCTTTTTCATTTAATTGATTATTAACGAAAATAGCACTTATCTACAAGCATCACCACTAGTCGCTTACATGGAGTTTACTTGCAAAGCACATAACGTGCGGCGCGTGAAGTACGTAAAAACTACTTAGGCCAATATTTTTTCCATTGTTGACGTCATATTTTGCTGTTCCACGTCATAAAATCTAGTATCCAGACAACCGTTGCGCCGGAGGCGGTTGTGAATGAACGAAGTGTGAGCTTATGAAAATAACGCCAAGAAAGCAAATTTCGTAGACTATTAAGTTTATGTATGATCATGTCAACACGGGTAAGTGCTCCACATTTTCACAAACATTTCCAAATGAAAATATCAATTGAGAACATAAGCCATGTTTCAAAAATTTCACCTAAGGTGAAGATCTAGACTATGTTTCCGTACAATATTTTATACAAGACGATTAAAATCAGCTACATGTTACATGTAAGCACATCTTCTGTCTGTTTTCAGACTCAAAGAAACGAAACATCCATGTTGAGCCGTTTTCGCAATTTCATATCTTTGGCCGCAGGACTTTTTGTTTGTGGTAAGTGAGGCAGTTTATTAGGGTGTTGATCTTTTTACTAGGCAAAATGATTGTGGATAAATGTGTGCAAAAAGAGAATAAAATGAGATATAAATCCCTTGAACATTAGCGTGTAAGGAACCGTTCGTAAGTCTATATGTAGAAGAAAATCGACATTTGACAAGTGGATATTTTTACATCAAAATTACGTTATGGAGGTCAACAGGAATTCGTCAACATGAGGTTTTTCAAATATTTGTTTGTTTTATTCCATAAGTGGGAAGAAATCCACAGAGTACTCCTCAAAGCCGTTCAAATGGCAGAAAAAAGAGAAAAGGCGAAAGAAAGGTAAGGCGATTATTGAAATATTTACGATATCGCATTAGTGCATAAATAATCTCCTCCGTTTAGTTGAAATGCGATAATATTTTTTCTGAATTTTTTCCTTCTTTCACTTTCTCCTTTTTTTTTTTTTTCATTTCTATGTTTCTTTCTTTTTTGTCTTTTCTTTTCTTTTCTTTTCTTTTTTTCTTTTGTTTCTTTTTATCTTTTTTCCTTTCTTTTATTTCTTCAACTAGTCATTTGACCCTATCAATCAACCCAACTCAAATGACAGTGGGTTTGATAAGGAATATGAAGGTGGGTTTGGATTGCGAATTAACTTTTGCATAATTCGATTTAAATACAAAGTATATTTCCATAAGACAATTTAAGCATGCAAATAAATAAATGAAGTCATTTATATGATTTTTGTGCTTTTTTAATTCATGGAATGGTTGCAACATTCTTCATTTGTCATTTCAGGTTTGAGACGCCGTGTAAAAAACGTTGCTGTGACAGACGAGAGGGATTCGCGCAAACTTTCAGTTGACGATGTCCCGAAATTCCTACCACTCAGTTGCCTCAATTTTCTGCGTAGAAGGGGTGTCTTGCTTGGGGCGGGCACATTTGGGAAAGTGTTTTTCGCCAAAGAAATGGTCTCTAGTTCCTTCGTCGCCGTTAAAGTATTTAACACAGTTGGCGACTTTGACAGCGCTGTGAGAGAGGCACGCATCACAGCCGCCCTTAGTGAAACTGGGATTGTGCCCAAATTCATCGGACTAGTGGACCTAAGCAAAGCCAAGTTCCTAAAGAGAGGCATCAAAAAGGGTAAATACCATGAAATAGGCATGGTGACACAGTTTGTGGGTGATCCTGTGAAACGAAAGCCTATCACCCTTAGCCAAGCACTGGCAACTCTGCCCAGACAGACATACTTGGTCATGGACATCAGTCTTCTGCTCCGCTGGGCGAAACTGCTGTTTAAGTTGGCTGTTAAACTAGCCAAACTACACGAGCTTGGCCTGATATTTAATGACCTGCACAACAAAAATGTCATTCTAAGTGGACCTATCGAAACAAACCCAGATATATACATTATCGATTTCGGGAAAGTTTCATTCACTGGATCTAAATTCTGGTATTCACATTACGTCGATCCATTGGAAAGGAACAAATATATGCTAAGATACCCGCAGCACGCCGTAGAAATCTGGGAAGGGCAGAGGTCCTCGACCAAGTCAGATGTGTTCAGCTTTGGTGCCATGTTGAAGAGCGCTCGTCTTGGTCAGATGCTCTGTCTAACCAGCTTGGTGGACGACTGTCTGGCAGTGCGACCTCGGGAACGCCCCACAATGAGCGAAGTTGTGGAAAAACTAACGGTGCACCTTGCTGGACTAGAGAAACTTGAAGGCAAGGAGAAACTGTGAAATGCCGCGCATTAACTTGATAAAAATGACATGTTATATCTTTGCTCATCACGCACACATTAACATTAGTTTTTATGTGCCTAATGTCCATTTATGGAAGAAAAAAAGGGACCAAGTGTTGGAAAAAAACGCTTCCCCTACAGACGCTGTTCGCGTCTTCTTATGCACGGAACTACAGTAGCATTTGGTTGACCAACTGAGATAAACTTGATTGATTTCATATAACTTATATGGTTGCCCTTGGTAGTCTTCAAAGAAGAGATTGTTACATGTAACAAGTAAATATTTTCAGTAGTTTGAGGTAGAAAATATAAACACCATTTTCAATGCAAATTTAAGTGTGCGTCTCTCTCTCTCTCTCCCATTTAATATGCCAGTACATAGCAGTATTGGCCTGATGGTGTTAATAAATAAAACAAAAAACAAAACGGTTTAGTTTGCAACACTAGTTCGTCTTCTTTTTCAAATTTCCATAATATGCAGTGTATAAACCATATACCATAATGATGGCTAATACATTTAGCTATTCTTTAGCGTTTATATATCTAAACATTGGCACCAACTAGATCTCATCATCGCACGTCGAAAGCATCTCAATAATGTTTTCATTACGAGAGGATGCCATAGCGCAGGCTGCGACACAGACCATTCTTACCACTACAGTCCAGGGGAAAGCCCTTCTCTTCCAATACATTCTTAGGAAAGAAATGAAATCCTGTGAGGATCTCGATATCTGTGATCACTGGCACTACATCGGAGACACCACTCACGCTGCTGCACTTCAGGTCTTTGGCAAGAAGGTATTGCAAAAACCAGGATTGGTTTGATGCCAACATTGCAATCCTCCAACCCCTTATTGTAAAAAAGAGAATTGCATTGCAGAACTATCAGCAAAAACGTGAGAAATATGTAGGCCTATAATTCTGATACTAGAGCTTACATTAGCAACTGGCTGACGTTGCGGCCTCAATCGGACACCTTTCACTAGCAGGCCTACCCAACTACCATACTCGGCACCGAATGATCCCGAATTCACCAGTAGATCGGACCACACTACCCGTGTGTGTGTGTGTAAGTACGCATTTCACAGTATCATACCCCAGAACAGATACTTCGAAGCGCGTACTGAAAACTTGAAAACTGGTAGGCCTAGTGTGGTCTGATCTACCGGTGAATTCAAGATCATTCGGTGCCGAGTCTGGTAGTTGGGTATGACTTAGGCCTGACTGGGTAATGCTGGATGGACTGGTCACCCCATTTGTTGACATTCGACTTGAAATAGTCTCCAGCGCCCAGTCTCATATGCGTGCCAGGTAAGGCCACCTTTCTTGTTAAATGATGGGTTTCCTCCCTCCCCTAGATAGTTTCTTTGATGCCACATTCGTTCCATTTTTTTTGTTTTTTTTTTTTTTTTTGGTCAAGAAAGCCTTAACTACTCTTGGATGGAAGATATTCCATCAATATACATATAATTCTTCTAGATCTTAGACAACGCAGGCTGAGGTGACTGGGCCATGCCCGCCGCATGGAGGACGGTCGGATCCCTAAGGACCCTTTGTAGGGTGAGCTAGAAAAGGGGTCTAGAGATGTTGGTTGCCCAAAATTCCATTTCAAAGAAGTAAACGAGACATGCTAACGATTGATATACCAACCAACAACTGGGAATCTCTTATCTGAGGACAGAAACAGATCAGGACAAATGGAGGATCATTTGCGGACAGTTGCTGGAAACTGGCGAGACAAAGCGGAATCCTGGAATTGATGCGGAAAGAGAGGGAGGAAAAGGTGGAAGCTCGAACAGTCCCATCGTGAAACTGTAGCCGCATTCGCCTCTCAGGATAGGTTTGATCAGTCACCAGTAAATGTGTTCGCAAGTGCGCTAAGTCATGGACATAGTCCGACGACTGCCTACTATATACTTAACTAGTAGCCATATGTCATACATTTGTTATAAAATCTGTCTTTTAGTATTTTCTTGTTTTATGATGAAAAACTTGATAAAAATAGGCGCTGAGGATGTATGTTGTAATAATGAGAGATGCCAATGAATTTTTTCTTTGGAAAGTAATAATGATGACGACTTCAATAAAAAGCTGTGGAAATGAATGAAGTTGGAGTTGAAAAAAGCATTGAAACACCATCATTAGATTGCATATTTTGGTCCAGTAATTGACCCCTTGCATCTGAGAGTATGTTTTGAGATATTTCAAATTAATATTTGATTTTTTCGCAGACTTAAATTCAGAAAAAATGTCAAAAAATGTGGTCTTTAACCGTTGTTAGTTTTTTCCTTATAGTACTCAATAATTTATCAGTGTTTATGTCGTTAGAGTGAGAATGATCGGGACAAAAAAAGTATTTTTATTTAACTTTGCTATAAAAGTTTGTTGTTGACTAAAAGTGTAGGCCTAATCATATCTTAATTATGATCAATTAAGATATCTAGGCCCATGTTGACAACAATCCATGTCTTATATTTTAACGACATCTGATAACCACGACAATTTGAGACCCTGACATCAGGCAACAATATTCAAACCAATGTTCCCTCGAGCTCAATTTCTAGTATATGCATATACTTGGACTCACTGTGTACACACTTAATCCGACATAACGAGTCTCAAAGTTATAAACTTAGCCAGTCCGCCGCTAGGGGTTTAACATTTGGAGAAAGTTACCTTAAAACACACGTCCTTTCATGAGAAGGTTCTACTTTGGGTACCTCGTAAAGTTGATGCTACAAAGTAAAGATTTGCCCGATTAAATCCAACGGTCAGTTACAATGATATGCTTAGCATGTGGGTTGTCTTGAACGACCTATTTCCCAAGCAAAACATGGCGTTAGGAAGTGGGGAGGGTACACGGTTAACGCTGTTTAAATACACCGGCAGTAGGAAGTTAAAATGTACAGAGAAGATTTATACTGGCCAGAAACAGTCCCCTGTGTGTATCCAAGATGAAGATGGGTACCTATCGTTTCTCAGCCCACTCAGTGCTTTGTATACTGAACGCCTTCTCTCAAACATTCTACGGTAAGCCGACTGTTTACAGTTTTGAGGAACTCGTGACTGTTAGTGTTAGTTCACTCAGTTATGATGTTGCTCGTGCATTGTCAGTTATTACTGTTTTCATAATTGTATAAGGTTTGTTTAACTGTACCCTGGTAATTTAATTTGTAAAACTTGGGCTATTAGAGAAATTGCTAAATTAAGCCACTATTAATGTGATCCTGCAATTCTATGAAGCTCTGTTATTAATGATAAGCAAGCAACATATCATGAAGGAATGTTTTTCATGATCATGATATTTGCTCAGAGCAGATTTTAGTGGTATTTACAATTTGCAATGTATATGTAACCCTTCAAATTAATCCTATTTTACAGTTTCCAGTGGGAAGATCAGTTAGATGATGAAGCAAGGACTTCTTTTGTCACCATCACTAAAGAGAATGATATTTATGGCTATGATATGACAGTAGGAGTAAACCAAGCAGGTACATATGTATAACATACTGCTAAGACATTAAGATAATTGAGGTTCAAGGTTTAGAGGTAATAAACATTAAGATAATTGAGGTTCAAGGTTTAGAGGTAATAAACATTGAAAAGGAAAGTAGATGGAAAACCACAAAAAGTTTTATTTTGTATGCTGCATATATGCAGAACAAGCAGATGTACTTCTAGCCATAGTGATTTTTTAAATACTGAAATGAATTTCTTTGAAGTTAATTAAATTGATTGCTTATATAAAGTTCATACATACTTTTCTCTTGTGTTCTACAACAATGTCATCACATTTGAGTTCAATTCATTTTCAGGTGAACCTTATCATGTATTGAATCATGTCACACAATGTCAGTGCCAAACGTTGAAGACGGTTTTACTGGAGCTATGCATTGGTGAGAAAAGTAGCTGTATCAAAGCCTGTAGATGAAATTATTGTGTGTTTTTACTTTCTTGCAGACTTAAAAATGTTTTTGGTTGTAATGAAATCTTTAAAAACATGCGTAATTAAATGTATGCTTACTAGATGGTGTGTTAATTCTTGTGATTTCCATAGAATGAACAGATGTAAGGTCTATTCTTACAGCCTAACTGGTGTACATAGGATTTAACTGAACTGTTGGTATAGTGCCATGTTACATCATGTTTCCTTTTTATTTGTGTAGATAAAAAAAAAGAATTGTATAATGACATGAATTATGATTTCAGAGGTTCATGAACAGTCTAGCATATCAATCCTGCAATACAGAAACAGTGCCATCACCATATTGATAGACCAAACACATCTTCTGCATTTGTTGTTGTACAAAGACAGGCCACCAGATGTCACCACTGTGTGCTCTTTAACAGACGACACATTGCCATTGCAATGGGAGACAGTGGTCAACATGGAAATGGAGGGAGACTGGCTGGTTATTATGGATGAATTAGGTCTTATTGGTATCTTTTTTTCTGTGACTACAATGTTAACCTCAATATTTCCTTTGGGGGCATAGAGACAATCTCAACTATGTGTCGTGTGTGATTTAATGATTTATTTTGAATACTTAGGGTCCTTTACTTGTTTTTACTCCTTACCATTTACCCCATAGGTTATTTGCTAACAGCCACTCTGATTGATTATCGATTAATATGAATTCTATAAAAAAGTAACTTTTTTCATTATATTCATATTGATTAATTATGACACCTTAACTCATCTCTCTCAGCTTTCTACAGTGTTATAAATGGTAGCCAGATGGCAGTGGTGGACACCAGGACAGTCCTGTCCCTACACAAACCAGTACACTTTGCAGTCACAAAAGACTTAAAGACATTGAATGTTGTGGATACAGAGAACAAACTAGCTGTGATATCACTCAGTGCTTATTTCAATGTAAACCCACATCACTTGAGATCTAACGGTCAAGTTCATACCATTCCTCCCCTGACTGGTCAGTTGTCTGAAGTTGATGAAGATCAGGTAGATCTTTCAGGCACCACTCATAAAATGGACACTGCAACATATGGGGATCCATTGTGGAAACATTCATTAGGTTCTTTACACTCTGCACTGCAGCCCATGCTTAGTGATTCAAGTGCAGGGGCCCGGTGGCAGAAAACAAGCTCTTCATCATCACCACCTTCTTCATCATTTCCATTTCATTTCACATCTACTAGGACAGAGAGCTCTAAGATATGGGACTCTAAAAATGTAGTCACAGGTCTTGGAGTTGAGAGCAGGTCTTTCAACCAGACTGGTGAAGATTGTAGTTCCAGGGAAGTTTACTGGAGTGATGTAGTACATGTGTTGTCTGTACCAGTCTGTTGTGAGGGGATGACCATCAAGGATATGGCTGCTGGTTTGGATAGCTTGGCAGTTTGGTGGATGGGAGACACTCATGGTTTCTTGTGCACTTTTGATTTGCAAAGAGATAGCTGCAGCAAACATAGGTAATATTAACTCGTGACATGGTGTAGGCTTTTTACTTGTTTACAGTAATATTTTGATTGGACATGACTGTCTCAGTGTTTTGGTGCTGACATGAATTTAAGCACATACACACACACACACACACACACACCAGGAACTCCCACACACACTGCAGAAAGTTAAATGAATGGAACAGCAGAGCATGATGAACTGTTCTGATTACTTTTAAGGCTGGAGTCTGGCACTGCTGTGTTGCTGTCAAAATACCTCAGCTCTCCTCACTTCCTCCTCAGTGAAACCACTCTGTCTGCTGTGGCTTTCAATTGTCAGCAAGAAGAACTTGTGAACAAGGTATGTATGTTCTTAATAAAATAGATTCTCATACAAGTTTTATATATCAAGTAGCCTGTTCAAAGAATAGATATTAATTTCTGATCTTTTTGAAGCAGTGTTTCTTGATAATGTAGTTTTTACTTCTTTGGAAATCAACTGTCAGATAAGTTTTATATCATGAAGCTATATAGTTTTTTATATTAATAACATATAACCTCTCTCATATTTATTGATTTTACCTTGGTCAGTTATCCCAGCTTGGAGTCAAATATAGTCTAGAGGTTACCTCACCCAAAGTCAATGATTGTAAACTTTTAAACTCCTTAATTCTAGCTGATGCTGTATGAGAATGCCACAGTAGCAGATACCCTGTGTCGTCTCAATTCCTGGGACAGGTGCTCTATTCCCATACATGCTCTAGAGGTGGGGCTGAAACACAGGCAGCTGGACACTGTGGCCTTCTTCCTCAAGAGTAGGGAGAACTGTGAGTATTTTTACTGAATGATGATATCAACAGGTAATGATAACATAATGAGGAGTATTGTATTAATTAACCCTTTTTGTTGTGAGTTGAGGAATAAAATGGATGATTGCTTCTGGAGTAGTGCGATCGCTGTTCTAAAAATTATAGCTTTACGTACATGATTTTTTTTACCTTTATTATTTTTAGTGTTTACTTCCAAACCAGTTATCAAGGGTGTAGGTAGGGTTGGTCAGTTCAAGCCCACCACTCCCCAGAGTCCAACAGGTATTCTGTCCCCTGTGGCTGGAACCATGACACAACCTTTCTTTGCCCACCATGTGCCCAGTGACCTGGTGCAGGTGGAGGGTGCCATTCAACTACTTATAGCAACTGTTAAGGTAAATAATCTGTAGTGATCAGTGATATGATCTTTGACATTTATTTTGATTGTTTTGCATTTAATTGTTAGGCTGAAACTGCTGAATCAGTACTGTAACTGTTAAATTACTGAAGGTTTTTAAAATTGCCAAGTTAAAGTATCGTTCATATTTTTAGGTAATCACAACAGCATGTGCATTCCTTGTTTACATACTATTAAAACATACAGTGGCCATAAAATTTCACATGTATTTGATTAAATTTTGGTTAAACAAGGAGTATGTTTGTGTGTTTGGTGTTGTGATATAATATATTATACATTGGACTATGCAATGTCGGTTAATACAGTTAGTGTGATAGCAAGATTAATGTTATTTCCATGCCATTGGCTCTCAGGAGACTATGAAGGACACTGGATCTGTGCAGTTTGCTGAGCAGTTACTTCACCTGACCCTGGACTACCTCCACGGCCTGGTGAAGAATGCTCTGCTGGCTCTTAATGACCTCCTACTCAACCAGGGGGGTAAGTAGGAAAGGCAGTTCACAACCAGATCAATTTAGAATGGATATAGGGTAAATAAGGTCACTTAGTTATAACACAACTTGAAACCAAGTCTAAGGGCTTTATATGTATTTATATAATATAAGTGTGGGGCATAAGTAAGTCTGTAGCTGGGTGTGGACATGCTTGAGACAACTTTCAGAAGTTGAAATATAAAATCACAAAATTTGATGTGGAAAAAACTACTGAAACAAAAATGTTGTTTGCATCATGTTTGCGTGTCTCAGTTATTGAAAAGTGTTATATTTTTTTTCAGGTGACTCTGAAGCTTACCAAGAACGACTAGAACTAGAAGGATCCATAGAAAAGCTGACAGATTACATTTCAGAGTCTAGACAACTGATGGTGGATGCTCCCAGGGTGACCCAGCGACAGGCTGGGGTGAGGGTTGGCCCTGTTGTGTACAGGGAGGACCAGGAGCCTGTTGCTATGGATGAAAAAATGGAAGGGTATACTCTAAGATGGATGCACATGAATACTGAGGTAGAATTGTGGAGCTGTTAATCCAGTGAAATTGGACTAAAAATCAGTCATGTGCATTGGTATTGAAACATTTCTATGCTTAACAACTACCGTTTCATATCTCATTTTTTTGCAAGTTGGCAATGAAACATTTTGTTTTAAAGACTAAGTGTCAAATCTTTTTTGACATTTAAAAAAACTGCCTGTTTATAGCACATTAGAAAATTTGAGTTGAAAATTTCATCTTATTAATTATCCTTTAGGTTTGACCTCTGATTTTTTTTTTTATCATAACTAATTGTTTGCCTTCCAGGAAGTAATATTAGACGGCATCACCCAGAACTGCATGCCACTTGTCCAGGCATACCTCAAACCACTGGGAGAGGATGTCTCTCTGGGGCGTATACTACAAGTAGGGCTGAATGATACCATACAGCAACTATGGGCCAGGAAGTTCCCTGTGGCATGCCACTTGCTTCAGAACATGGTGAGTTTGTAGTAGCTGTGTTCACCTCAGCTTATACTGTTCTGTAATGTACTGTTCTGTTCATATTCCTAATGCTATTTTCTTAGGCCATTGTAGATAAGAAACGCAAAGGTTGTTTTCAACAGTTTATTATTGTGTTTTAAAGTTATCATTGTTTTAAAGGGACCTACTTTGCTTAAACATAACTCTATGATGGAATGACCCCAGAATTGGTGTCAAAAATGCTATTCAGAGCATTGGAACAGTTGCTGAGAGACATTAGATTAAAATAATCTTGATATTTTTATCAGGCAAAATGAAAAAAGTGGAAATTGTCTCACCTAACCATATTTGGATATTTTAAAGGATGAATATTATAATCACATATAGTAGAAATGTTCTGTTTTTAATAAATACTATTATATGGCAACCCAACAACTTAACCACTTGATGACTATTTGATAAATGAAAACAGAACAGTATTTACATGCAGATGCTGTGAGATAAAGCTTGACCTAACATGTGATAGTGTGACAAACTGATATATTTAAATGAAGATAATCTAGTTCAAAACATGGAAAATATATTATGAATTATGATTAAGGAAAAAACATTTTGGTATAACAATTGACAACCGTCTTCTTAGGTATCCTGTTTGCAGGATATACAAGTGTTATCAAAGAATGTTCAGCATTGACTGGTTAATGTCATTAGTGACAATTCATATGACTAAGTGCTTAATTTTTTTACCCTCTATAAAGCATTTAAGTGTTTTCATATGAAGGAGCATATCATTCAGTACTTGAGTTTGTAGTATTATGAAAAATATACATTTTCATGAAACACCTTCATTGTGTGCAGTTTCCAAGACAAAGTTTGCCAAATTGTCTTCATCAATTTATTGCAAGCTTAGAAGTTGTATTGGCTGATTTTCTTTTCAAAGTCTTGAATTGGTAGATTCTGAAAAGAAAAAAAAAGGGTTATTTTTCATAAAGAACATAGTATTTAGCATCTGAAAATTGTAACATTGTATGTATAACAGAAATGTTTTCCTTTAAATGATTACAAATGATACTGTATGATTTTGTCACAAAACTCTTTCAAAACGTACCCAAGAATGATCAGAGCAATTAGGCAGAGTCCAGACATAATGCAATACACATAGCCTCTGAACCAGGCCACAGTGGCAGCATAGATACTGTTCAATATTGTATTTCCCAGGAGGGTGCAGACACTCTCTACTAGAGAAATACTGGCAAATAAAGCCCCTGAAATTAAAATGTAGTCACATAACTAAGAAAAATTGTGGAAAAATTAAGTTATTAGCAAATGAGAAGTATAAAGCACTATTTGTAACTGAAACATTTGTTGTAATGGTTAACACTTCAAAAACCTAAATACAAATTGCACAACTGACATTTATTGTCATCATAGAATGTTGTGTTCAACCTCCTAATGTACTTCATATAAGTAACAAAAAATGGTTTCGTTTTCAAAGTATACGTATGAATGTGGCCTGTCACCTTGTTCATGATGGGTGACAAGTTGAGACATGGCAGCCCTCAGCATAGCTATAGACAGCAAGGAAAGAGCACCTATGCTAGCACCTGTAAAGGAGAAGATAAAAATTTACAAAAATGTAGGAAATATGAAATGGAAGATGTATTGAAAACTGGATTGTGTTGGTGCCTTCAGTGTCAGTGAAGGAGATGATAAGAGTGCATAAATAGGTTGGACTTTTGACTTTGTATGTCATGAAGCGAATTAAAATGTTATATATCATGCTAATATAATAAATATTTTTAAAATAAGATATGCGGAGTCAGTGGGGGAATTCTTATTACAGAGAAAAAAGGATGAAACCATTCAAAAGATGAATGCAAAGTGTCTGGAAGTAAAAAAAAAAAGGATAAACATGATCAGTTAGTTCAAAGGTTGTCTTTCTAAAAAGACTCAGTTTAAAGCAAAATGTATTTATTGAAGCCAAACCAAATGATGTTGGTTGGTGACATGTATTTTTACTTACCCACATACATCATGTAGTCATATTGGGCGAATGCTATGATTATCTTGGATGATATATAACTTAGCAGGGCAACCATAGCCACTGTAACTTCTGACAACTTGAACACCTTACGCATCAGCACTATACCTACCATGCTGGCCAACTGGTGAAACAAGAAAAATCCATTAGTTTAGACATTTAACCTATGATTACTCATTTTAAAAATTGTGGTAGATGAAAAAAGCAGCAGGATTAGTCATCTTTTTCATTGCAACTTATTTGCTAAAGAAGGGTGATGTTGTCAGTTGGTGAAAATATAGGAATTGATTTTTAAAATCCTGTCTATATCAGCTACTATTGTTGTTATTAATTACTAGTATTTATCATAACAGAGGATGATGAAAAATTATGAATAATGAAAATACTTGACCATTATTTAATCACCTGGATGATCATGATTCGTATTGCATTATACCAGCCTATCTTTTCACTTGTCCAGCAGAAAGGGAGATTGAGCACGTATAATGTGTCCACAGTAGAGCTTATCATTGGAATTGCAATTAAAAACAAAATTAATATCAACATTCGCAACTTCCATACTCTTCCTGGGGGAGCTGAAAGCACCATATGATCTTTCTCAGTTTGTGAAATGTCTCTGTGTGGTAATGAGTGGTCTTCTCCCAACACTGAGCTATAGATTTGTCTGTTTGCCTCCACTGAACCAGTAGAGACTGAATGCTGAGCAGGGAATGTTTGGATATTGTCACTGGGTGGAGCCACATTACCAGCTGGTAAATGGGGAGTCTGTTGATCAGGTTGCACTGGTTTGGAAATGAGCTTTTCTTGTCCAGCATCAGGCACATGGAAGAACAGCTTTACCACTTGAAGCAAGTTACTGAAGTCAAGGAGTTTGGCCTCGGGGTCCTTCTCAATCAGTTCAGGGATGAAAAATATTGCATAGAGCAAAGCCAGGAGAATACTGCCTGCAATGACAAGCGTTTAGGTATTTATCTTTTATGAATAAAATCCTTTTTTTTTTGGCTGATAGTTATAGAGGGCAGTACTGGAAATATACTCTGTTTTGGTCACAATGGAGTAAAAAGCCTGAAATATACTAAATAGGGAGCTGATAATATATAACGTTACATGAAGTTAAAAAAAAACGTAAGAAAAGGGTATTAAGGAAGTATACATAAAAATTAGCTATTTACCTACAGTAACAACCGTTGGTACAGAAAAATCTGGAAAAAGCTTGATCAGATATCCTATTACAATCTCTGATAGTGCTGCAGCAAGCATTGAACATGCTTCCCCAATGACGATTTTGATGGCCTTATTCTTAGCAGTAGAGATATCGGCGATGTATGAGAAACATCCCATAAAGGCTGTTGTGAAATACCCAAATAATCCTTCTACAAAGTATGCAGGTAGTAAACAATACAGAGGCCAGTTGAAATATATTATTGCCAGGGTGCCACCCTGACGGAGAAGGCTTCCTATGGCTGGAAGAATTAGACAAAGTTTACGTCCAGCTTTGTCACTGTAGGCTCCATAGAAGACAGTCACCACCATAGATGGTATAGCACAGGTTATGGAAAAATATATTGACCATTCTGAGGCTTCTGCTTGCGTTTTCTGTTGTGCTATGTAGTATGGATCAGAGGTGTTTTGGTCACAGTGGGAGATGTTAGTTGAATGGGACTGGTTGTCTTCCCCCAGTCTCTTGTACAGGTACTGAGTCATGAGAGGTGAAAACCCCATGAGGGCAAAGAAGTACAGGAACATAAATGGCTCCACTGTAATTGGACATTTGGGGACGTAATTTGGTCTGTCATTTTTCTTGTTTTCGTCCTTGGTGTCCACAACTGTGGCGTACTTTGTGGTCCCCCCACTGCCCTTCTCACTGGACAGCAATGGCTGTTCTTCCTCCCTCTCCATGTTGAACAGTCACCTTGCAATGTGGTGTCACTGTGCGATGTGCTGTCTCCTCCAGGAAGAGAACAAAATATCATTTTGTGAAATAGTGGTAGGATTAGTTTTTTAATAAAGCATATCATCAAAGTACCCACATTTTGGTGATCAGTTTGTAGTGACATCATTTGAATAGATCTACGGACTGCTGTGTTGTATATATACAGTTGATAAAAAATCAAGGTGAAAAAAAAACAGCATGCTGCAATCTTATGAGGCAGTTGCTATAGTATCAGAAATAGGGAAAGAAGGGGAAAAAAATACAACATTACAGGCTTATCTTCACAGAAGCTGCATATTTTTCATTTCAAGAAGTGGACTATTTAATGGTGGGAATACAGACACACTCACATCAGACCTCCATTTAATAAAGAATGTACAGCCCGTAATTGACTTCACTTAGCTGCATGACTTACCTAAACAGATTACACTTTAGGTGTTAAAATGGTGTTGATATCTGTTCAGATGAGGGAGATCTGTGTGAAATTGATATGACAGTTTTTGCCCCAAAAATGCTTCTGTTATCAGCTCGAGTTGGCAAATTCAGCCTGATAAATTTTTGATGCAACAACATTATCTTATAATATGACTATGTTCATTTTTGTATTATTTAAGCAGATAAAAAAAAAATCCTTTTGTACTGACACCCTAACCTACATGATGTTGCAAATATGTTAATCCACCTTATATCATTTAAAAATAAATAAATAAATAAAACATTATTTTGTGGCTATAGAACAGACAGCAAGATGGCTGACTAGATTTTTCTTTATACATTCATTGTATATACTACATTTCATCTACTAGCATACTGCAGAGTCACTCTTGATTATATTCCTCTTTTATGTAGTAACAGGGTTGAACTTACTTTGTTGTCTTTGCTCAGCTTTGCACCTTTAGCATATTTTTCCTTTCTTACATATCATTCAGTATGAAGTCAAACAAACACGGAAATACTCCTGTAAAATACCCTTAATCTTTTTTCAAATTTGCATGGCTGATTATACGTTTCAGAAATTGTTGTCATCAGTTACTCTGCTACTAGACTCATGTCAAATCCTTAGCACTTTGCCTTGTGTTGCTAATACCTAACTTATTTACATATCTCAGGTGATATAAGTAGTCATATGATGTTTGTCCACGGTCTAGAGGTCATCTAAAACAAGGCACCATATCAGAGTTAGTGTTCTATTTCTTGGTCCAGGGTTGTGGCAACAGTCTTGTTGTGGACACAGAACATACCATGAAACTGTTAATATAAATCTGACATATGTAATGTCATATGTACTTTTACTTTGATTTTTAAGGGTTTTAAGTCCGTTTGACAAAGAAATGCAATCTGGAAAAAAAAAAAAGAAAAAATGAAAGTAAAGAAGGGAAGAAGCTGTATTTGCATGGGCATCTAAATTATATTTAAGTGGTATAAGATATTAAAATAACATAAAATGTCCAATGTAATGTTGAATTATAGTTTGTGTTTGGTGTGCATTGTGGCTGTTATCTTGAGAATGATGACTCAGATGGTTCAGGGGGTCAAGAATTTAACAGTTTTAATCAGCTGACCATAATATACACATTTAGTATATATATATACATACACACTCATATTATTTACATTTACTTATTCACAATAGTAATTATTTACAGACACTTTCAATGAATATTATGTGCAGGCACTCACAGTGTAACTCACTGTAAATACTAAGATTACCTGTTTTATATGCTATCCCCATATAACTTCCAAGCTATTGTCTGAAGTGTTCTGTAAGATTTTATATAAAATTATGATTAAATTTGAAATTTGATATAATTGTACAATACAGTGTTATTTTAAAACATTTTGTGGTCTCTCTCTATACCAATCCTAAAAAATTAAGTACATTTGGGATAAAGAAAAATCAAAAATATACACTAACTAATGACTTTTTTATATTAAGTAATATGTTATAAAACTTTTATTGGCATACATATGAAATCAATGCCCTAGAATTCTAAAAATTTAGTAATGCTTAATTCAAACTTGTTGAAGTAGGACTAATTGTTTTCAACTTACTTAGCGCAAAATGCAATCCAACGATTCCCCAGTTCATGTCAGACTTACCCAATGCCACATAAAGGAAACCCCAGTACACAAAATGACCGATGATACAATTTATTCATTGATGCTTGGTAACTACATCTCCAACTTCTAAACTCCCAGTCTCTTGGTACTCATGCTGTCATCTGTGTTCTCCAAGTCTGATCGCCCCAGGTCTCTTGAACACTCTCCTTAAATCCAACTTACTACCCTTATGTGATGTGATAGATACTAATCTTGATTACTTTAAATTGCAGGATTTTAACAGATTTTAATTAAAATTGTTTTTTATCAGTTTTGTACAAAGAAGTCACCATGCCTCAACACATTCCCTCATAAAGTGCTCGGTATCTTATGTCGGACATGGAAAAGAGAATAAAGATGCAATATTGATCAAGAGTATAGACCTACTAAGTTGTTAAAATCTTGAAATCAAAGATTTGATAGTTTCTTTTCTTCTTGCAGGGATTTGATGTGTTCTCCAAGCTTAGGCAGATATGTTTCTTTACACCTCACCGAGAGCTGCGAGAGCACCTTATTTCAGAACTCCTGGTGGCACAGCAGTGGAGAAGGGAAGAACGCAATACAATTAACTATCTACACCAGGTGGAGACACTGTACACATGTCAGAGCTTTGAAAAGTCATGTCTGCTCAAGAAGGATGGAGGTGGCAGGCAAGCAAATATTATAATATATTTCCTCAATTTATACTTCTTTTCACTGTAGAAGCCTGTGCCATTGTATAGTGTTTCTATACAGTAGAGAATGTCACAGCTTTCAAGTTTTTTTTTCCATTTTGAAATTTTTCTCACTTTTTTACTATAAAGAAAAAAATGAAGTAATATTTAGAAAAGAATAAGCTCTAATGATTTAAGAAATATAATTTTCATGTCAGCTATTCTTGAAAAATATTTCTCAGTGCATAATTACCAATTTTGAAAGAAAAATCTCTTCTTAGTTGTATGGAGGATCCTCTAAGCCTTCAGTCTTCCTATGAATCCCACCCAGAACTGCTGAGTCACTGTGGTGACCTGGTACCTCTAGAGGACAAAAACAGTGAGACATCACACTATGCACACCTATTGCTGGACTGGGTACATACCTGGGATACCAGCACCAGGGAACGCATTCTGCTAGATGTACTTCTTTATAGCAGTGGCAGAGGTAATAGGATGGATCTTTTGATTTTAAATAGTCAAATAGTCCTGTCACTTACATCTATTTGTCTGTCTCTCTGTCTTTTTTTTTTAATCATCGCTGTCTTTCTACTACAAAGTCTCAAGACCTTCCCTCTGTGTTTAAATTTAGGGGATATAGAGCTTTATATACTTAAGTCTGGTGGATAAATCTCCTAGGCTTCCTTTGCAATCAGCAGTACTTCATAAATTTACAGAAAAAAAAGAAAAAAAAACTTGCTGAAGTTAAGTGAAAAGTAGCCATGGTTCTTGCAATATTTTCATGAGTCTTATAAAGGAATCTTTTCTTACAATTTTTGCAGATAACACTGGAGCTTTACAGAATACTTTTGCATTGTTACTCAAAATATGTTTTCTTGTTTTGTAGACCCAACCAACATACCCATTTCCTCTCAGACCCTTTTTGACTACCTGACTAGCCACAATGACTATGCACGCTTGCTGCATTGGGTTCAGTCCAGCTTCCCTACTGAAGGTGAAGAGGTCAAGATCATGTGGCCTTACAAGAAACCCCTGACTGTTGATCTGATCCAGAACTCGACCTATTGTATTCCCTACCTCAAGGAAAGATTATTAGATGAAATTGCTAGGTATGTCTCAATTCTAACCAAGTTGTGCTCAGTATACAACATAGCTTATTGGTGACACAATTTGGTGAAACATAATCAGATATATAATACAGTTAATTCTTGCAGTTTAATATAAATTTCTTACAGTGCTAATTGATATTTTTAAAGACATTATTTTGTTCTACTGTAATGCCTTTATGAGAAAGAGTACTTCATTTTTCTTTCTGATTTTTTTCAGGCGAGGTGTGTTCATTCCAAGTGAACTTCAAGACTTCAGTCAGTTGTTAAAAAGATTGGGAAGGATTCATCAGTCAGTTTCAAAAAACAATCCATGTTTTCTGCAAACCAAGTCGGGTTACAATCAACTGACATTCCATAAGAAAATGATACATTTCCTTACAGAGGAATATATGCCCCAGGTGCTGTACTATTACCTGGATTATTTTAGGTAAGAGTTCCTGTGTAAAAGGGTGACCTTTGTTAATAATTTCAGTGAGAGTGCCATATAGGTTTATCTCTTAGCAAATTCTTGGATATAAGATTGTATAATGATTCGATGATTCGAGGATGTATTTAGTATAAAGGCAGTCATATACTGTTTGATTGTTAACAATTAAGGATCAGGAGGATGAAGAAGCCTTTCATCTCATTTGTTGATATTAAATTCCTTTTTTAATTGCACTGTATATATTTAGCTCATTTATTGGATTAAATTATCATGCTGCTTATCTCTCCCTTTAGACTTGGTCTTGACCAGGAGAGTTTAGACAAGCTGGGGCTCACCACAGCCAAGCAGACCTGGGTGGCAATGCTTGTCCAGTTTAGACTGCTGGCTCATAACTACACAGGTGATGATATGACAATTCTTACTTTTATTTTTTTTAGCAGTTGGGTTCATTTAAATTCCTATTTAATTTTTCATAGTAATAAAAAGAAAGAATGAAATTGTAAATGCTTTTGTATTTTGAACAGATGCAATGTTTTTGTGTTAGTAAAAGATAGGAAGAAATCAGATATGCAGCATATGCTTTCATTAGCTGTTTTACAAATGCATGAAGATGTATGCTTTTTTTTGTAAAAAACATCATTTTATACAATTTGATGAAAAATGAGATATGTATCTGCTGGAGTGACCTCATTATTAAATTATGAATATGATTTTTTACTGTTTTAGATCCCAGTCAAGTGTTTTCCGCCAGCCTGTCATGTGCTCGTCATATTCTCCACCTCAGCACTGTCACTGTGGAGGACATGTTGGAGGCAGGACACATTGTCTGGGCCATGGGAATGCTACTCACATCTCCACATAGTATTAATCAGGTAATGGGGAAACAGTGAAGATATGAAGACAATGTGTTTGTTTAGTTGGAAAGCATTAGATAGAGCTGTAAATTAAGGTTATTTAATGGTTGAACGTGGCATGGGTCATAAAAATTATGGCAATTCTCCCTAGAAACAACCATAGCAGAAACATATTAGTGACCAAATCTGTTATTTGTAGTCTTGTTGACATTCTTTTCTTTCAATTATCACTTTTGTTATCTGAAAATTACTTGACCTTACATAGATCTTGACTCATTTCAGGTGCTGTCAGGATCTGTCCAAGATGACAGGCTTGGACGGATAGATCCCCAGCGTCTACGTGAGCAGTTGGCTGTCTACCCCAAGCTCCAGGCAGCCCTGTTTCCTATGGGAGCTGAGGACAGTGTGCCCCAGCAGGACATCACAGTGTATCAACTCCTGCAGGGAACCACACACTTTGACCCTTCCAAGTCCTTCCTCTGGCAGACCACTAATAACGTGAAGGCAGCTGATGGTAAGGGCTTATGATTTCATGAGTTAGCATAGGAAAAGATTTCGCACTCCAAGTTAAAAAAGTTTATTTGTAGCTGTATTACTGTGAAGACATGATGCTCCAGTTATACTTGATATGCTCAAAACATGCTGTTCAAAAAGAAATAATGATCTCGTATTTCCCTGCAAAAAAAGAATCTACAGTGACACATCCATTTATTTAGATTTGATAGAAAGTCCTTTTCCTTGCGTTTGATTTTTTTTCTTTTTTTTTTTTGCAAGTGAATTCTAAAAGTGAAGTATCATTTGTTTTGTATTATTGTGCACACACAACATCATTTGATTACTGAACATGTGGCAACAGAGAGCTCAGTATCACTATTCTAAATCTCTCAATAGCAGGCATCTTACTTAAAATTTCAGAAGAAGAGACAGAACTCCCTCATTTCTCCCTTCCGTCTTTGACCAGCAAATATTCTTACAAGGGACAACTTGGCTTCACATATTATCTCAAACATGGGCGTCCAACATTTGCCTTCCATGCCTTCATCACTGGGGAAATCCAGGATGGAGCAACTGTGATTATGCCAAGAAGGTATGATAGAACTTTGTGAATCATCTAAATAATTTTTTTGCTAACAGTGATATTGGATATTATTCTTTGAATTACTGAACACAAGCTTATGTAGGGGAGCTCTTATCTTCTGAAATTATACGAGCTTGGTAACTCACTAGTGTTGAGGTAAATATTTAATTTTTTTATGCAGGTCAATCAGGAGATTGTCATGGAGACTTAACCATTTTTATCTCTCACATAACAACAGTGATAGTCCTAATCTCATATTTTGTTTGGTGACTTAAATACATTGAAAAAAGCAGAAAATGTACTTTGACATGAAATTAGCATGGAATTTGCTCTTAGGCTGCTATATGCATTAGGAAGACTCTATGTTTTGAAGTTTGTGGTTTGTTGCTGAAAAATATTGAGTTTAATTTTTTACCATCTAACTGTTTTTTCAGACAGCAAATGGCCTATCAGAGAGCACATGTTCTGGCTATCCAGCAGTTTAATAACACAGTTGTAGCTGCAGCATGTGTGGCATTTGCAGAAATGATAGGAAAAGATAGCACTGCAATTAGAATTCACCTGCAGGTATGCACCTGTCTCTGTTATAAACTCAATCTTTTGATGAGGAAAATACTAAGGTCTTCTATAATGAGTACTGTGTTTATATGAAAAGGTGTCAAAGAGACCTGATATTTTTAAGTATTAAAAAAAAATTGTCAGCTTACTTAAAAGTAAGCATTGGATTCCATGGTTATGATTCCCTATGTAAGGAATAACTAATCCATGTATAAGAAGCCTTAAAAGGCTTCTTATACATGGATTAGTTATTTTTATTGAAGGTTGCCAAGACTTTGTATACTTATAAAACCAGTGGAGTCTCCAGCTCACTGTATCAAAGAAAGGCTGCAGGGGTATGCACGGAGAAAGAAATTAGTGAGTTTTATGCTTTCTTTATTAACATTCAACTGCAAAATAATGATTTCTTCTGATTGATTTAGGATTAAACCCAGTTCTTAGTCACAGCTTATTTTGCTGGCTTCTGATGTTGTATCTGCTCAGTGTTGGTTATATATATAAATGTGTGTTGTTTCCTTGATTTTTAACATTTTGATGATGTCTAATTATCCAGGCAGTTTACTCCTGCCCTGTGTGTACCATAGAAGGAAGTCTGCAATGCAGGTGCTCTCTTTGTTGGAGGAAGCCGTGGCTTGGAAGATAGATCATGATAAGCTGAAAAAGTAAGTTGCTTAGATAAACATGGGAGTGACTTTGAATTACCAATTAATCTGGCAGAGAAACAGCTTAATACAGATGTGGCAAAACCCAGTTTATTTTGACTTTCTTATTTGAAGATGCTGGTGTACATTTTGCTGCCATCTAAACTAGTCTACTTCTTGCCAAAGCTGAGTCACAGCTAAAGCTGTGCACATACATTGTTACTGCAATTGCTTGTGTCACTTTATATGAAGGACTCAAAGCAGGCCAATTTAAATGATGGACTAAACATCAAAACTAATCTTTTTAAAAATAATTTATTACTTAAGTACTACCAGGTTATCAGCTAGGACATCAGTTTTGCTTCAAATTGTTTGGTTTGATTAAAAATTGATGCATTTTTTCTTTTTTTTTTAAAAATATTCTGTATTTCTAAGGACCAGTCTTGATGCCAGCAAGGAGTGGCTGATAGTGATACTGTTTTGTCATGTCCAGAAGCTCAAACTGACCACCACCTACCTGCTGGAGTGTGCAAAAGATGACCATTGGGTCCGCTTCCTCAACTTTGCTCAATTGTATCAGTATCCAAAGGAACTGGTCAGTTTGTGGCCACTCAGCAGATTTTTATATTTTGACTTAAATTACTATAGGAAAAAAGTGTATATGACAGTGTAATTTTTGTAAAATGATATAGTTATTAGAAATATATAAACTTACATTGTGAAACTGATAAAATCTGCTTTTTTTTTAAACATTGTGCCATTTTAGGGTTTTGAAGTAAAATGACTTTTAAAACTTGATATTGTTATCCTAACAACAGTTATTTAAGACCAATTAAGGGCAACATTGTTCAACTCCACATCATTGTCTTCTGGTATGCACAGTATTTACTTCTCTTCCAGCTGGTTGAAGTGGTCTCCAGTTTCCGTAGCTCTCACCTGAGGGAGCACCTGCGACATGTTGTGGAAACTGTACAAGTAGACCGTGTGAAGACAGAGGAAGACTCTGGTGTGGGAGGGGGCAGTAAGAGACAGGCACAGTCCAACAGGTCCAGAGACTCTAGAGCAACCCTGTATTCAGCCCTTGGAATTTCCAACAAAGAAAAAGGTGAGGGTTTTGTTACATGGTGGATTTATTTTCTTGTGAGAATATCAGGTATCAAAACATCTGACATCTGCTGTAAATGTTGATGTAAGAAAAAAGATCACCATCAAATTTTTTCTGAGTAATCCAGTGATTAAACTTGTATAGAGATCTAAGTAGACTATATTTTGATTGTAATCATGAGAGAAAAGTGTTGCCAACATTTTAAAAATAATTTTTCTGGTGTTTAGAAAGCAGCAGTAGTGATGAAGAAGCAGGAGAGGAGACATCTTCACCAAAACCTACAGTGGCCTCAGCACAGCAACACCAAGAGGAAGCAGCACCTGAGGAGATGCAGGAGGCCCTGCTGAACCCAGATGTCTTACCAGAAGATGTGTTTGGGGTGTTGTTTGCCTGCCAGGCTCAGCCCTGTCCCTGGAAAGCCATGATAGCCCACAGTGTGGCTCTGAAGAACCCTGTACTTGCTCTGCTGGCTGCATGCATTCAGGTGAGACTGGTCCTGAAAAATGGGGAGAGGGAGAGATGAGACATGTAACAAAGTAAAACAAAACATCTTTTTGATTTTGTTGTCTCTTTCATGGAATTATATTGTTTCCGCAGGAATAAAAATGATATAATTATTACTGAATTTAATTTAAAGATCTTGACTTGAAAAGCATGGCAACTTGGGACAGGGAAGGTAGAAGTAACATATCACTTTATAAAGGCTGTAATTTGAATAATCTGAATTAAGAATTTGTAAAAGAAATGAACTTTTTTAAAAGAAAATAAGCTTCTTTCAAAGACCATTCTGTAGAACTTGATTCATAGATATGAATATAATTAAACTATATTCATATCTGCATATCAGTTTCTACTGAACAGAAATATTGAAGTATTTTCTTCCATTATATCTTGCTGTAGGGGGCCTCCACTCTGGACTGCCTGTGTGCCTGGCTGCTGACCTCCCTGGATGTGGAGACCTGTGGAGAGGCTCTCAGTGCCATGGATTACTCCAACAACTCTCTCTTCAAGATGGAGGACCTCAGTCTGCTTCTTCATTTCTACTTGCAGAAAAACTGGGTTTCCATGGCAGCCACTGGGTTTTACATTTTTCAGCCTGTAAGAGTTTTTTTTTTTTTAGGGGGGGGGGGGCTCTCAGATCTTGATACTTATTTTTTGGTGGGTGGAAGGGTATCAGTTCACAATATTGGATAGGAGATTCAAATTGCCAGTAAGAGTTTTTTGAGTAAAATAGTTGTGCTTAATTCAATATAAGACAGTGATGTATAGCCATTGTCACTGATAAGGAAGATAGACGTGTTTGAGTGGTGATTTACAGTAATAAGTGATATCTTTATTTTTCTTGACAATTTCATTACTGTTTTTTACTGCTGTGCTTTTTTATAAGTTTACACCTTCAGTTAAATTTGGCCTTCTTTTTGCAGCAATCACCACTGGTTCCCTTCCTCTCTTTTTATGGGAATTTTATGGAGAACAAAAGGTTTGAAAAGAGCTCTCTAATGTTAGAGGAATTCAAAGAACTAATGCTAAAGGTAGGTACATGTATATTTTCAGCAGGATGAAAGACTGGGAAACAGTCGTGTTGTCCTTTATAACAATAAAAAATCATATTCCAGTTATATTAAGAATATATTTAAGTAAGGTAGTCGGCATCTTATAAGCTAGGTACAGAATCACTCTCTTTATATTTTGAAATAATCCCCCTTAAAGTCTTACTCATATTATTGTTATATCATTGAAGAGTGCATATTTTCTCTACTGTTCAGTATCGGCGTCGGAGCCCAAGGACTCAATACCCACCAGACCTGATAGGAGACATATTGTGGGTAGAAGAACAGGCCAGCAGCATGGTGAACTTTGCCCTCAGGAACATGGCGTCTGCTCATGATCTGCTGCAGTTTCTGAGAATTGTGGACCAGAGTGCAGTGACCAGAGCATTTGGATGTGAAGGTATGTTTTTATGAAATGTGAAATATTAGAATTTTTCCCTATTTATTCCTTGCTTGTTTACTTTTAGGATAACATGTAATATAATGGTAGACATTTTTCCTTTGATTTGCAATTTTGTATATGTAAATGAATTTACATCTTGAATATTGAATTTTTTTCAGTTCCTGATGTGAACAAACTTTGTCGTCTGTACAACATTCTGTACAATGCAGATATCCAGGTGGAATTTGATTGTTTGATCAGAAATGATACGAGATACTGTGAGGATATTGTTAATAAGTTACAAGAGAAGCAACTCTATAATGAGGCCAGAATATTTGCAGAAATATCAGGAGTTGCTAAAGACGAGATTACTATAAAGCAGGTAAGGCATAGCTTAGTCTGACTGTTGAAATGCAAGTGGACTACAAATTCACAAACCTTTTCATTTGATTAGGAGAGAGGAATTTGTTAGGATTTGGAATATTAACTAAATAAGACAGTCAAAAAGTGTTTGTTTGGGAACTAACTGCTGCATGGAGTTGATGTTTTGATTCAGTCATCATTTTCTTCCTCAGCTTCAAGTAGAACTGGCCAAGTTGCAACAGTCCAGTGTGTGGCAGTCAGAACAAGGTCGGGTTGCATTCTGGAACCATTGTGATGAGCTAATGAAGAAATATCAGATTGATGTGGACAAAGCAGCAGCATTCTTCAAGGTGAATCTTCAGTGTGGAATTTACTGCTATTGTTTTAATAGTGTGTTTGTCTTTAAAAGTTTTGGTAAAATAAAGGTTGGAATTAATGACTTAAGGATCAGAGCAGTGATATCATGTATATTACTACCAGCGAGATTAAGCTCATTCAAGTAAAATGGTGGCAATGGATGTATCTGTTTTAGTTGTGGAGAGGGGTTTACAAAATGTATGGGTTGGTAAATATGCAAAGTTCAGTTCATGGTAAAAAGAAGACAAAAGGCCAAGTTCAAGGTCACATTCAGATTGCCAGTACATGACTTGCTATTCACCTTTAATTGTGGGTGTATCTATGGGTGTATCTCTGCCAGCTTTGGAGATATAAAGGCGGGGAAATGAGGAAAGCTTAAGTCGTGATGAAAAGTAGGTCAAAGGTCAAATTCAAGGTCACATTAATATTACCAATATATGACTTGCTGTTCAAGTTCATCAGAAAAAAGGGGTGTATGTCTGCTAGTTTTGGAGTGTTTCACATTTTATTTTGAAAAAAATTCAGCATTGAGCATTGCAACATTTTACTTCTTGAAATACTGCAATTCCTAAACTGTATGTAAAACAAAAAATGGATATCACTTCCACTATTGTGCTTGACAAGCTCTACGCAGTAAAGCAAACAAGAGGTCTCTAGCTTTTATGGTTCCAGAATTAGATGAGTTTTCATTTTTTGGCATCTGTTGGGTCCTGTAAAAATGCATCAATTGCCCCTAAACTCACAAAGATGAAAGCAGAACTCAAGTGGATAAGACAGGTCGAGACTAAAACCATGAGTACCACCAGTGCGCATGCATGACATAGCTGAATTAAGATTCTCGATTGATAAGTTTTAACTTTAAAAATATCAAGTTAAAATACCCCTCCTGCTGCAACAAGCACTATGTGATAAACATGTCTGCCCAGAAGACATACATATTTTCCATTTTCTCAATTTTAAAATTCTCAATGTAGGGTCAGGTAGAGTATGCAGCAGGACATTGGGAGCAGGCTGTCTTGTGCCAGAGAGCACTCTGGTGGCTGCAGAACAATCGTTTGGAGCACCAGCTAACCATAGACAGACTGCAGCACATTTACTGGAAGTGTCGAGTACAGGTGCAACTACAGAATATGGAAGTAAGATACTTGTGAAAATAGTTTGCACCTTCAGGTGATATTTATTTATGTGGCTAATGGTATTGTTCAACTTCTGTGATAAGAAAACCTTACATTTTGGTTAACTTAATTCAATATAAATTGAAAATGTGACTAATGATTATGAAAAGTGGTTTCAGTTTAATTTCAGCTAAGATCTGACAAAATTGTAGAAGAATTTTAAGTTCTTATAAAAAAAGGGTTAAGGTCTGGAATTATATTTTTTGTTTTTTTATTTTAGGAAAAAGACGAAAATGGTATAGTTATTCCATCATTTGATATTGTAATGGCTCCACACAGGTCACAAGAAGCAGTTTTACAGCAGACAAAGAAAGAGCTGCTTGGTTTTGGGAAGATGCCTCGCAGTGAGCCCACCAAAATGGCAGATTTATCTGCCAAGGTATTAACTTTCATTGATTTTACACACCCATCAAACGTGTTTATTTCTAGCTAAGGTGTGTGATGTTAATTAAATTTGAAAAGCCATTATTTAAGATGTAACTTATTTAAGATGTAGTTCAGATGTGGAGAAAGTTAAAATAAAAACAAGACATATTCATTATAAGCCAGGTTACTTTAGTATAATTTTTTTAATGGAAGTATAATAGTTAAACATGAGTATTTAATTAAATATAATTTACTTTATTCCATTTTATTTTGATATGAGTGTTTATGTAAGCTACGTTCCATTTTTCCACAGGAGATAGTAGCCCTGGAAGCTCTGGTGGGCACACTGCTGGACAGTGGCCAGATTTCTGAGGCCAGTAGGCTGGCCAGTCAGTTTGGATACTTCAGTCAAGATCTTGCCATTGTGGTGGTGGGTGGTCACTTGTTTGATGATGCATGCTTGTACTTAAGCAATGAGTAGAATGTTCAGTTCATGACTATAAAAGCTAAATGATTTAAATGGGAGTGAGAGAATTTATTTATATATAAAAAATTGACAATATTGAAAGGGGGATTGGAGGAGATTTATAGTCCCGCAAGTGTTTGACTCGATGTGCTTTTCACCTGTCTCATTATAAAGTCCTGAAGGTGAAATGAGAACTACCCACTACATTATGAACAAGACTGCAGTTGAAGCAGAAAGTAAAATACTGAACAGTTACTTGTCCAGTGTTTTAAAAACTTGAGCTTGTTAGCAATATTTGTACCTGTATAGATGAACTAACATAACCATTTACTATGTAGACCTGTTGACCTTAATACATATCAGTATATATGATACATTTACTCACAATTTTTCATTCATTCTTTCAAAAGTTAATCCCAGAAAAAGATACTTTCATAAAATTCTTATTTGATTACATTACAGAAAATATCTAAATTAACTATTAAAATCAATAAGAAATGTCTTAATTGAAATTTTGATATAATTTTTTTCATTCAGACTTGCATGCGGTTAGCTCATGGAAATATTGCATCTGATGATATAGATGAAAGTATGAAAGAACTGCTGAACAAAGAGACACCCAAACGGAAGTCCACCCTCCTCAGTAGACCTGGAAGTGGTATGTCAATTGATATGCTGTACATCTGCTGCATTTTTAGTCTACTTTGTTGTTAAACAATATGTACAAAATTAGATTTTTCATCCTTTCCCTATCTTTTCACTTATTAAGATGGTTATGTCATCATAAGAAAAAAAAAGGAGTCTACAAAGCACTTAATTAAAAAACCACTAACCTTAATAACTTACCTAAAATAATTTGAATTGTTACAGGTACAAGTTTTGCCAGCCTTGATCCAGTTTCTGTGGAGATGAAAGGTATATTAGCAACAATGGAGAAATTACAGCAGCATTGTAACCATGGGCAACAGTGCTGTCAGATGATATTGACAGCCTATAGAATATCACAGGTAATAGATAGGTTATTTGACTATTGTATTTGGTTTCCTTTTACTTTTTTGTGTTAATTGCCCATGTTTTGCAAATAAATAATGGCATTAGTTTTATGAAAGCTGTTTATATTTTTAATCTGGTTTGCATTTGATTCATATAAATAAAACAAATATAACATACTGGAATATAAAGTACTATAAAGATGAATGGAAGATCTGTTGATTATAATTAATTCTCATTGTTGTAATTTGTTTTCCTTTCAGATGATTTCTAAATATAACTATGAGCGTGTGATGGAAGAACCCCACTTCACCTTGCTTCACAGTTTACTAACATGTGAAAATGAAGAGAGATTCACTCTTGCCAAAACTTACATAGAGACCAGTGGATTAGCAGACTCTGAGGTAAGAATGTGGTAGGAGACTTTGAAAATCCAAGTACACCATTCTGCATTATGAAGATGATATTCCAGACATCGTAGAGGGCCTAATGCAAAAACTGATTTTATTTATTTATATAATGCCTAGAAGTTCCTTTTATTCCTAGACCCCATTGTATTATTATCTGTTGTAATACTATAATTGATATTTATTAATTTAAAAAATTTGATATTTCTTGTTTTTTTTAGCTCTGTGTTTTTCTTGCTGACCAGATCCTCTATTCACTGAGGGTGCTGACTGGAGCGAGCTCTGATGATGAAAGCTCCATACCACGAAGTGGCAGTGAACTGATTGTGAAGCCCTCCAGTTCCACGACAGTGTTTCCATCATTGATTGACCTGTGTGGAGACCCCTCACTATTGGGAAGCTGCTTGCTGGATGCTGCTAAAGCACTGGGAAGTGACACAGATTTGTCTTCTAAAGGTAACATGGTACACTTTGGTCATCAAAGATCATTAAAAAGCAGAATTTTTCAAACATTTTCTTAAAATTATGTGGGTATTTGAAGAAAGACATCTGTTATACATACCAATTAAACACAGTCTATTAGCTATAGATTGAAAAGAGAACAGAAAATCCACCACTTGTTATAGGCAAGTTTGGAACAGTGTCCCAGGACCAGCCTTGTTAGTAATGAATCTGAGGAAATCCATATGAGGTGTGGTGTTTTGCCTGAACGTGTTATTAAGTGTTTTGTTCATGGTGATGATGAGTAAGGATGCTTTTTTGTTCATGTTCCAATTTTAATATTAAAATATTATGACATTATGTGACTGTGATGCTTAAATGTGTTTTTTAAAGATGTAAAATATTTTATTGTAATTTACTGTAGAATTGGCCTTGGAAGTCGAGTTGTTAGTAAGGGCCCATCACTGTTTTACAAAAGCCTGCAAGATGGAAGGTATTGCTAACATATTACGTTCAGCCAGAGTCTTGTCAGAGAGGCTTGCCAAAGCAGAGGAATTTACACTCATGGTAAGCTCAAGCCAATATGACTGCACATCAGATTAGGTCAATGTCATTGTTTTACAGTGACAAAAATGAAGCAAAATGGTCTACACCATTATGGCATTTACATTAACAGTTATGTCAATCTACTTAACTATATTCATCAAATTATAAAATTTTGCATGACATTTGAACAGGGTGCCTTTTGATATTTGTTATAGTTGAGACTCCTGACTGGTGTTGGTCGCTTCAGTGAGATGACATACGTGTTTGACATATTGTGGCAGCATCATCAGTTTGAGTTGCTCTTCAGGAAGGGCATGGAGAAGGTAAGGAAAACTTGTCTCTGATTTATTAAGGACCCCAGTTTTAGAGCACAGATAAAATTGTGTTTCGTGCACTACTAAGATAATCTTCTCGATTCAAGTGCCATAGCTTGGAAAGCAAAATTGTATTTTAAACTTTGAAGAACACAAAACACATTTTGAAAAATTGTCTGGTTGTCTTCTTAGATTATTTAGTTTTAGATTGATAAATATACTGATCATATAGATTTGTAAGCTTACTACTGCCATTGACCTTGTTCTCCTGTTTAGATTTATCTGTTAATGCACAAAGTTGAGTCTTGTGTAACTGCTGTTAAGACCTCTCATCACAGGATTACATTGCTTACAGCTTGATACATACTATCAAATAATATATACAATCTACAATGTAGGCGACTGGTCTAAGAGGGTTAAATGTAGATTTTCTAGTAGAATTATTAAGTCAAGAAGAATGCAAAATAGGGCACCTTGTGACCCATTGTGTCTCCTGAATTAAAATAAGTAAATTGGGAATTCATGTCTCATGAAAAACTTTTTAAAAAGTATAAATTAATGTTTTAGATAATTTTTAATTTTTTATATATTTCATCTTCAAACATTTTACAAGACTTGTAGCTTTTTGGGATCTTGTTCCTTTTTGGGGGGCATGGGGACACACACACACACACACACACACACACACACACACACACACACACACACACACACACACACACACACACTGTTTTCTGGCATGTCTGCTTTTAGTTGAACTCCTTTACTGACACATTTATATTTCATTTTCTGATGGTATATGGCCAATAAATCTTAATTTTCAACCTGAGCTTAGTGTAAATAGTGGTTAACCTTATTTACAGACATTATACTTATGCTGTATATTCTACTCAACCCCTATTTGTAAAGTAAATCTTAAACTGTTATACATTGAATTAGAAGACATATGGGTAAAAGCAGGTATCAAAGCCCATGTTCAAATCACAGTTACATTTTCTCTTATCATCTTTTATATTTTTTTTCAGGAATTTTCTAGAAATCACTTTTCTGAAGAATTCTCTCTTCAAAGTTTTGAATGCAAAAATAACTTTAAAATGTCTGTCAAATCAATATTTTCCTATTTTTATATAGAAAAAATATGAATGTTGAAATAATCTTTTATTTATCATGTTCTCCCACATGAAGTAAAACGCCCCTTATTCTGCAGATGAGATACCTGCAGGCTTTTTAAAATTGTATGTGTAAACTTTTAACCCCATTAAAGTTTCTTCCTTTTCACTCATACATTTTTGATCTAGACATTGATTTAGCGAACTGGCACAAAGTGAAAAATCAGTAAATATATGCAGTAGTTATCTACTATCAAAACAAGACATCACTGTTATTTACAGAAATTTGTAAGTGTCCTCATCCTTTCTATCTGACATATTTGTTCACCCTATGACTGCCACCCTTTTCAAATGTTTTTGTTCAATGCCTGTATATAGCTAGCTTTGCTTTCTAGTTTCTTTTTCAAAATTCAAGTCAATATTGTAGACATGTAGATAAAATATACAGTTATGTATACATACAATTATTCTATTTTACATGCTTCTATTGTATATGGAATTGTGTCTTCTCATATCTTACAGTTTTCTAGGACAGCTTCCATTTTAGAGCAAGAGCATTTTGGCAGTGTTCTCTGAAATAAATAAACTGTAATAGCAGCTAATAACTATGTTTTTTCAATCTACCAGGGCCACCATTTGTAAAACTGGTTTTTAAGGACTGAAGGGGTGGAAATGTATCCACACTTTTAAGTTTGAAAAGAATTGTGTATATGTAAAAGTGGATTAATCATGAAATTTGTCAGGTGTGTTTTGATCACATTTTGACAGCTTTTATCACATATGTAGGAGGCTTGCCAATTCAAACTTTTTTAGACATATGTTGCTTGTAAACTATTTTGATCTCTTTGGTATGTACATAACAGGGTGATATCAAGGTACAACAAGATAACAAGATATAACCAAGTTACAGAAAGTTTAAATGGCAACTTATTTGACTGAGTACCACATTAGGAGTTCAGAATTTTAGTGCACATGTTGTGAATGGTGGACCTAAAAATGAGCTTTTATGAAAATTCCTGATAAAGTTTATATTTTAAAAATGTAATTATGTGAAAAGGTATTTATGGACAGTGTGCTTAGCAGTACACCAGCTGGTACCTTTGCTTGTTCTTTGCTATATTTTTGCTAGGAATGTATAAAAAAATTGTCAAAACCTCTTGTCTTATAATTTGCTTTTGAATCAAAATGTATGAAATTCTGGCTTAAACATTTCCATCTATTGCTTTTTAAACAGTTAAATTAATTTTCTTTTGTGACATATTAAAACTTATTTCATTTGACATATCTCTCTTGATATTTTACAGGCAGTAGGGTTTGCAATAAAGGTACTTGTGAATACTTATTGTGACATTGTATAATTCCTTATAAGATACCTGTAACTTTTTATGATTTACATTTCCCATCTGTAAACACTCCACCTTTGCATTTGATGTTTACCATTCCACAAAACCTTACCTCAACCTGTTTATTGTAATTTAAACAATATTTGCCTGAACTGGTGTCATAGTGAACATAATGAGGGCCAGCCATTTGCTATTCATGTTTGTCAGTACTGAAGCCTCTCTACTGGAAGAAAAAAGTGATGCCTAGTGAAGGAGTGAAATGAATTTTAATGTTTCTTTTGTTATGACCATTTATATAGTAAAATTAAGGTTGTTCAAGTTTCAGTTTTCAGTATTTGAATCTATTGTTTATTCTTTAAGAACGGAACAGAACAGCAACTAAAATGAGTGTTGGTATTCAAAAATTTATGGAGTATATAACAATTCTGCTATACTCTGCAGTATCCAAGAAAGCTCATTTTTTGTCATTGGAAAGAATGGCCAATATCTGAACATAAACAATATGGGACCAGTTGACATATAAGCATGTTTATGAATGAGTTTAAAGCAATCTATCCTCAGCTTTTGAATGGTATTCCAGGAAGACAAGCTCCGCCTTGCCATTTTGGAGTACCTGAAACGCTACCACCCAACTGACAATGATACGTATACCATGGTGTCTCTCCATTTTACCATGTACAGAGAGATTGCACAGATGTTGGAGGAAAGAGCCAGGAAACAGCTAAAACAGTGGATATCAAAACATTTAGGTCAGTATTTTGTCACCTCGCATACATCTATCTGCAAATTTAAGTCTACTTATTTCCACTATCATTGCCGCATCATGGCAATAAAAGTGTTAGATTTCAAAATTTGATTAAAAATAACAATGATGTGCTAATTGGGTGGCAGTAGTATGTCTTTTTGTCTCCCACAATGGAACATTAGTTATGCATTCATTGGATGTTTATTTTAATAGTTAATGAGAAATTTGTGTTTTGTAAGGGACCATTCCCACAGATATTTGGATTGATCTTTCTCCCTGGGGAGTCCCATTAAATTGCTATCAACTTGACCAGCTGAAATGTTTGATATACCTAGTAAAGCTGTTCTAGGGGGTAATTATCTTTACCCTAGCTGATTCGGTAGGCGTGACAGACATTAAAGCCGGTTAAGTTGATAGCAATTTAGTGAGACTCCCCAGGGAGTTAGACCGATCCAGATGGATTGATCTAGGCATGGGAACCCTGTCTTAGTTTTTATTTATTGTTTCAGACAACAGCCCAGATAATGAGAACAAACTGAAGGAGATAATACAGTTATATTCAGATGCTGCTGAGAGCTATCTAAAGGTAAACAAAGAGTTTGATGTGCACAGTAATCAGTGAGTTCAGGCACTGTAAAGATATGAATTATTCTGTTTTAAAAAGAGTGACAAATTAACTTAACACCAAATCAAGTCCAAGTTAAAATTTGGTCTGACTGTAGCTGCAGAGTGCAGGCCTTTTTTAGTCTGATATGTCATACAGCAAATTTAACCAGACAAGCTATACTCTTTCAACATTTCTTGAGATTGGATAATTTTTTTTTTTGCATGTAAATTATTTCAATAGATAAAGCTTTGAAAAAACTTTTTTCCAAATGTGATCATCTTTAAAACAAATTTTCCTACTTGTTCATTTTGAATTGTTATAAAGCTATGATGGGTAATATGGGTAATATCGCAATTCTATCCCAGGAGGATTGCCTGCGCCATGCACAGAGCTGTGTAAAGCAGGCTCAGTTGGTGGCTCTGCAGATGCATCTCTTGTCCTCTGGTACAAAAGTGATTAACCTACACACTGAGGATGTGACCAAATTCATCACAACTCACAACAAGTTTTATGAGGTAGGTGCTGAAATATAAGACACAATGTCTCAAGAAAAATGAACAAATATCAGGTTTGTTAGACCAAGTGTGTAGTTTAAGTGCCCTCTAACATGTTTATATTGTTGATATAATAGAGATATTATGATATAAGAATGTAGGAATTGAAAAATAACAAGTTTATTCAACATAACAATAGAGATGTTTTTTCTGTTAGTCCTACATAGTGGCAGAGGCATACAACTGCAAGAATATCTGGCCTTCAGCCTTGTTCCAGCATGTAATAATCAATGGAGACTTGAAATATCTCCAGGACTACAAGGCACACATAGGACTCAACACAGCAGTGATACTGGAGGTGGCTGACAGGTTGGTCATTCTGTAGAAATAACCAGTTTCACTATCTGTGTGTCCATCTGACATTTTTACCAAAATTTCAAATTTACATTGTTATTTTTTTTTAAATTGAACTTTTGAATGTTTTATTATAAGATGACGTTTAGAAGTATTTTTTTTTTCTGTTCACTACACAAGTTGTGATTTATATGTTATAGCAAATGAAAATAAGGTAATTGTGTGCATCCTTCAATAAGCAAACATTTTGATGACCATACTGTACATTTCATTATTCCAGGTACAGACGTGAAGGCAGTAAAAATGGCAGCAGTGCCAGTAACATGAAGAGGCTACTGGAGAGCTGCAAAGACATTGTCACCAAGTTCAAAGTGGCACAAGAATTTGCATTTGATGATATGTGGAAGGGCTTGTTAAAAGGAGACTCTGGGCCATATTTGCAAGATGTTATGGGCAGCAGATGACTATACTCAAATTTTCATTTATTTGTAATCAAACAGTAAAATAAGCCCTGTTATGAATATGTTTCATCTATGAGTAAGTAAGTGAGTAAGACTATGACATCATTCTGCAAAGATTATTGCCCAGTTATTGCAAATTTTGCCAATGAAAACTGTGATATGAATCTAATGAAACCAAGTTGTATGAAAATTGCTTTGATCAAGATAAATGGAAATGGTGCCTATTGCATTATGTAAATTCATCAAAAGCTCCTATTCAAAAAGTTATATGTTAGATAGAGGATATATTTTCAAAATTCACCTTGCCAGACTTTCAGTTATAATTTTTTCTTGGCTGTTTTCCTTTGTATGATCATTCCTTTGTATGGAAAACATGAATAAACTAAGTTTATTAACTATTATCAATTACACCTGGGCCCTTTTTCAACAAGGACTACTAATTTAACTACATGTACTGCCATTAATGCTAAATTTGGAGACCTAACTAAAGTCAAGATTTACCCTATAATTAGGTGAAAAAAAGACGTGATAAATCAGCTCTGTTCCTCATTTCTCAAGTATTTTATTATCCTCCTCTCTCAAGCTTTCTTTTTATCTACAATACTAGATGAGGCAGACCACATTGGTGTATTGGGGACTATGAATTACTACAAAATATAATTTTCGGGTAATTAACATCCCAGTAAAAGGGCTTTCTTTACAGAATGTTATGTATTTGTCATTATTGAATAATATTAAAGGAAATCAAAACCTGAAAGAGTCCTGCACTCCCATAAGCTTAAAAAAAGTTTTAAGAATACTCCTTCAAAGTTTTTAGTAATATTTGGCACTTGTGGATGACATATTCTCTGTGCCAAAGGTTTTATTACAGAACTTAGAAGGATAAAAAGAATGCTGAACTTTAAAAAAGTATGCTTAAAGATGATTAAGTCTCAGTTCTTTAATATGGGTTTGAAATAGGGGTAATATAGAATTCATAAGTCAAACTTGATGCTTTTTACATACAGACTGTATATGTCTGTATGTAATCTGATCAGTGTCTGTCCCTGTTGTTGCTGTTGCCAAATGTTCATCCTATTGCTGCCAAACCAAACTTTTATTTTACTTAAAATTTACAGTGTGACATGGTTTGAAAATTGGCAGGAATTGAATAAATTACATAATATACTGGGCTTGGGGAGATTATGATGTGCTTTTCAGATTATGGTGTTTTTAGGTCAGATTGATGTATAAGAAAGATATTCTGGTGATGAAATTCTTACTGTTTTTGATGCTATCGTGCACCTCAAGCAAAACTAACAATTGTTATCTCAGCCTGCTTGGGAAAATGTGCTCTTTATTGATCCTCCTGTTATCTTAATGATACCCCTGTAATAGTGAAAATAATCCTATTTTGCGTCCCAAGCCCAACTGTGCTGATCTTTATCTTGCACTGTTGGCATGTAGTGCTCAGGTTAAGATGTCTACTGGGATCTCTGATCAGTGGCCCACAGAGATGAAAAAAATTTTTTATCAAAGCAGATAATTGTCAATTTCTAGTAGTGCCCAAGTGTCAGCCAGAGGTGTAGAATGGCTTATGCTCTGCAGAGCAAAGACTGCGACAAGAACTGCATCTTAAAAAAAAGCAAAATGTTAGTTCTATAATTACCTCCAAAAATGGATATGTCTTTATTGGCTCCAATAGCTCTTACTATAGGAATCACTTAAATGTATTTATATGCTTCTTACTGTGTATCAGTATATATAGAGAATACTTTGTATTTGAAAAGATCAGAGATAGCTGATATGCTTTCCCTATCGCTGTTCAACGCCCCATAACTGTGAAACTATTTTGGTAAAGAAGCAGGTTGCTTTAGACAATCAGCATGATTGCTTTACATTTACCTTGATTATTCCGTTTTTTTTTTTTTTTTGCTCAATTTTGATGATGCTTGCCTCATATTTAAGTGACAAACCATATTTCTGTTTCCTTTTAAGGTAATAATATATTTTTTTTTTTGCACATATTTTGTTGATGTTTCTTCCTCTTTGGTGTCTGTATATATTCCAGCTTTGCTGTTTAGTTCAAACTGTAAGAGGTATGGACACTGAAATGAACACTGACCAGCTTTCAGTTCATAGCACAAGAGCCACTGCTACAATTAAAGATAAGATCAAATGTGTCCCACTTGAAACAATTTACATAATATGTTTCCATAATTTAAATAATTAATTCCCTCAATTTAAATTATTTGTTCCCACAATTTAATAATTTCACATAAAAAGTGATACCATTGCAATCAGCATACACAGAGACTAATGTAAGAGTTAGTTGAACAGTTGAACAGTGGATCTGGCAATGTGAAATATTACCATTAATATGCTGCAGTAAATGGGAAAATTCCAAATTCAATACTTGTCTTGAAAACAGTGCTTCATGCAAAATGTTTATTTAAATTTTGCAAAGTTGATTACCCTGAATTCAACAACCATGTTAGCTGCTGTATATTTTAGGGCATGACTGGTTGCTTTGCAATACTTCCCAAATTTTTTCATGGCAAGTGCGATGTATAGCCAGAGTCTTGTGTTTGAGGCGGCATGGGTCTATTATGAGTGACGTCAAATTCCTTGTGAATCCTCGAAATTGTGCAGTTTCATTTACAAGTGTTACATTGTTTTCATGTGCGATACTGGTCATGTAATGGTCCTCCATGAACATATGCTTATTGAAAGACTTTTCGTGCAGAATCTTAATTACTTTAAAGGAGAAAACAGAGGCAAATCCAGCGATGAAATCTTTGTACCTTCGATATCTGTATTGCCTAAAAGACTGATAAAATTTTCGCTTAATGTTCCGCGTGACGCGATATCCTGCTGGGAAATGGTGGCCCATGTACAGGTTGCTGGCAAGGGGTTCTTTCAGATTTTTCAAGTACTGGACCATGGAATAATAGTTAAGAGTGACATCACTACCACACAACACAACAAACTGTGCATGGGGACAAAACTCCAATGCCCAACGGAAAGCTAAAATAGTTTTCAAAGTAAAGTTAGCATAGGAATCATGAAAATCAACTTTGATTATGTCTCTGTAGTGAGCACTTTCCTTGCCCACTTTCTCCTCTACCAGCAAATCATTAGTTCGCCCCAAAATGTAAACAGTTCGGATTGTTTTCCCCAAATGTTCTTTTACACTTCCACAGTTTTTGCGAAATGTACGTCTTTCTGCAGGGTCCCTTGGATCAGCAATAACCAATGTCAGTATAAAAGGCTGCATTTCTTCCTTATTGCATGGCACATTTACGATATAATTGTACCTTCCCAAGTGGTACCAAAGGTCCCAGTCTTTGGCTTTAGCTGCGCACTTCTCCTGGGCAACAAAACAAGTGGAATTCTGATGTATGTCCCCTTTTGTGTAAAGTAAAATATTCTTTGAAAATGAGAAATACTCCTGTTGATTATTAACCATCCAAATGCCGATCATATACCCACTCCAGGTTAATGATAGGCAAATCAATATTGGAAGTGCAATAAACATCAAGTTACGGAACAGGATCATTTCTACTGTACTGGAAAATGTTGTGAGATGGGAAATCTTCTTTCAGGCAAAGTTCCAATCTTTTTAGCAGAAAGCCTGCACGTATATACTATACTGGATCATTGAGTCATTGGTTAACTCACATCTACAGTCGAATATGGTAAAATAGAATATATGTCAGGCAGAGCAGGCATAAATAGATAATAGGCTTGCAATATGTTTACGTAATAGCTAGGTCCCACAATTTAAGTAAACCATTCCCACAATTTAAATAATTTCTTCCCTAATTTAAATAATCCCTTCCCACAATGTAATAATTCCTCATTAAACAGTGATAACATTGCAATCAGCTTATGCAAAAGCTTAAGTACTAATGGAAATGGAGTTAATTGAACCATATATTTTAAAATATATAAATTCTTTTTCATAATAATCTCATAAGGTATCCTACTGGAGAAGCAATAAGGCTTTCCATTCGGTTTACACCCAAACCCAATATAGAGGTGCATTTCACATGCTGAAGTATCAAAAAATATAATTGAATGAATTCAAAGTTGCATTCTATTTTTTTAAAACATTTATGTGTTGTTACAACTCAAGATCGTATTAGTGGATTGTGTTAGTTGGTACAACCGGATGGAAAGGGGTTGCTTGGATGATAGATGCAAAATGGACAATGAAAAGGTAGTACTCACAGGAAATTATATGGCTACAATCATATATAGCCTGAGAATGGGGCAATATTTTTTGCAATCTGGACTTCATGGCATATATAAAATTGGTGAATTACATTTTTTGCGTCCTTCCATGGCGTCTTTATTGACCCCACCTTCAATAATGGCCAACCTCACTCAAGGTGTTCCTGCTCGAGGAACACGGGGCGACTCCAGCTCTTGCCACCAACACCAACCAATTATTGAACCAAGCAAATAATTTTTCCTCTCCTTTCAACTATAAAAATGGAAACTAGTTGATCGCTGGAAAATGTATCATAGCTGATTTGTTTCCTGCTGGGCAAGTAATCCAGGCCTAGTGTCCCCTTTGATAAATGTGTAACTGAGATGATGAGCAACCTTGTGGGAGCAGTAATGGGAAACCATAAAATGCCATCTGTGAAGGAGCAGTTAGAGAAGCTTTCTGACTGTCTATGTTTACTGGCAGGTACAAATACAGAGATAAATCTGCATAGGAAGGAGGTATGGAAATCAGAAATGCATGATAGCACTAAGGCATTCTGTGCAGCCTCCTGGCCAGTTACGGTTTTGATCTGACCTGCCCACTGCAGTTGAAGTTGCAGATCAAAACCGTAACAACTGAAACATACTAAGTGACAAACCAATATTCAGCAAAATTACCTTTTCCTCATCTAAGATATTTATCCCCTACCCTTAGACCTACGAGAGTATACTGGACAAACAATTAAGTGCCTTCCATTTTAATGTTAATTTTAATGTTAAAACATGCTGCAGTAAATGAGAATATTCAAGTTCAATACTGGTCTGATATTGAAAACAACAACCGCTGCATGTCCAGGGAAACTTATTATTAAAATTATATTTTGCTACAAGTAAATGGTCTATAACATACTTTGTATTCGGTCAGGTGATATCCTTTTTTATGTACAGACACAGATGTGTCTGTACATATAGCCGTCATCTGCGTCTGTCGTCGCCGTTGGCGTGCACTTTCACCGTAAACACGATAAGTGAAAAACCGTTTTACCTTTTGGCTTGAAAGTTACAGAACTGATGATTATTCATAATACGCTGGTCAAGTTCGAAAATCAGCATGATCGGGATATTTTTAGGGAAGTTATGCTTTTTTTTCACTTTTTTCAGGATATATGCAACACCGTAAACACGATAAGTGGAAAACAGTTTTACCTTTTGGTTTGAAACTTATAGAACTGATGATTATTTATAATACGCAGGTCGAGTTCGAAAATCAGCATGATTGGGTCATTTTTAGGGAAGTTATGCTTTTTTTTCACTTTTTTCAGCATATATGCAACACTGATAACACAATATAAGAAAAACAGATAGGCCAATTGTCATTGTACTCACAGGAGTGGTCAATCTTACTAAAACGCAGGTTAAGTTCGAAAATCAGCATAATCCGACCATTATTTTAGAAGTTATGCTGGTTTTTCACATTTTCTCAGATTCAATTCTTAGGCATGTTAACAGTCTCATTATTGATCTAATAAGATACGTAAAAGTGTTTGTTTGATATTTCCTGCATCTTTACAACATTGTTAGTTGATTTTGTAAAAATGATGGTAAACTTGTTATCATGTATTGTGTAATAAAGTGTCAAAAATGGAAATAAACACATATCATTGCAGTTTGTCAGATTCAATCATCCACTATGTTCAGAATCTCAGAATGGAGGAAATTGGACATTTAACACTGTTCTATTGATATTTTTCCCATCTCATCAA